ACAACACTGGTCTTTTAAACCCATTTTCTGACACTCTTCACAGTGCACCGTAACTCCGTAAACAGTCAAAGTTTCAACCGCCAAAGACTCTTTGCTTCCTCAAGGTGGCGACGATAAAGTGGGGCCGAGGGGGGGGGGAGGGGGGTAGAAGACTCCTGTTATGCAATGAATGCCAAGAGATCATGATCATTTTCAGGCAAACAATTTCGGACCCCTTTTTACTTGGATGGTAGAAAACTTGCCAGATTTCAATCAGCACCGGCACGCTAAAGCCTCATTCTGGGTGAAAGGATCACTAAACGTTTCCCACGGCTCATCCCATACCAAAGTTTTTCTTTAAGTATGGAGTCTCCCCCGGTTCTTGCTTTGGATTCACGCCACATGTATTTGGCGACATGTCACTCATGTTATGACCTAAGAGTTAAAGAGTTGCTAAGTGATGAAAAAATGAATGTTTATGAAAGAGTTAGGTTATATCTATTTACTTGATTCAAAGATATCTTTTTATATATTTACTTGACATTTGCGTTTGGTTTTCATTGAACGGTTGGAATATATCACTCGGTATTAAACGTACTTTGATTGTAGTTTTGTCAAGAGGCGGGCACGTGTGCAGCGGCTGGCGTGACATCCCAAAACATTCCTGTATCTTTTTCCAGGAATCTCGCAACTTATTTAACGTGAAATGATCCAAAAAGGAATACGACCCGCTTTAGCAAAAGTTGCGATACATTTTTATGGAATGATAAAAGCTACCTATTAAAGCAACATTGTTTTGTCACTTTACCCAAAAGAAGGTCATGCGTTTAAAATCAATCACTGTGGCAAGTTCTTCATATCTAACAGTTTCTAAAAACACTTTTCACTCGGAACTCAACCTGTATGTCTTTCGACAGGAGAATGTAAATGTTATAAATTGTTTGTATTCTCTTGATTTAGAATATTCTCTCCAAAATAAAAAGACAAAAAAAAATGCACAATTTGTTTTCTTAAGTTAATTATTCGTGTCAAGAACTCGTTACAGGATTAAATTAGTTAAAGTCTTCTTTTTGTGTTATATTATCTCACTGTTTTAGTACATACTAAAACAACTATTTACCTCAGTGTCGGTAACCAGCGGTGGATATTTACCGAGCTGCGAAGCGGCAAGGTAAAGTCCACCAATAGCCACCTCAACTTCGGTGAAGTTGTTAAACATCTCAGTGTTAAATATTCAGGCATTTACTCATTTCGCTAGTGTCGCTGACCATAACATCAAGTATATCAGTCGCAGTGACACCTACAACAACTTATATAGTATCCAGCAACAGCCGTTATCCACCCACCATAAAGCCCAAAACTTCAGCACAAGAAGATTGTCCAGCAGACGGAAAGCTAACCGTAAAATCATGTAAGTGAACTTAGCAATTCTCTATAAATGCATTTTTCCCTCACCCTTTTCAAATTTTGCTCATATCACATTCAATATAAGTGTTACGGGAGTTTTTAGATATCATATTTTTATCCTTCAAAGGTACCCCCTCACCATTTTAGCTGTCCTATTTAATAACCAATGACAAAACCAAGAATCTTTTAGCGTTGACGCAAGTTAAAGGGAAATATCTAATGTTCTCGAGTGGGTGCCGGTGATAGTTAAAAGAATCATCTCTTTTTTTAGAACAATTACGAGTAAATTCTCAACTGCCTTCTCGTAGCAAATTAGAAAAAAAGAAGAGGAACAAACAAATAAGCAAAAATTAAAAAAAGGGAAAAAAGAAGTCCACCTTCAGATTTAGATGTACAAGTCACTCTTAGTTACTCTTAAACCTTAAACCATCTCATTACTATTCTCACTTTGTCGGACATTGTGGCGCATTTTGCGGGCTAAAGTGGCGTATTTAGTGGGCTGAAATGTATTTTTTTGTATCATAACGTATGCTTTAGCTTTATTTCACCGAAACGTTTTAATCGGTTTCCACCACTACGGACGTTACTGCATACGTGATCAACACCTGGTTTTTGTTGCGACAATCTCCACTATTGATCGAAAGGTGACTGTAGGAATGAAAACACCACTCACGTTTGGAGATCCTTGGGAGCCTAATCAGTTTTTCTTGATTTCTCTAAATGGAAAAGTCGTCAGGTTTCGCTGCCCACCCGCATTTCTTCTTATTCACTTTAACTGCACTTTGTAGCCTCTGGCTTTAAGAACATGTAACATAACGTACATCTCTTGTTTGTGGCTTGATAGTCCTTTTTGTTTTATTTCTTCAGCGTGCGGCAGGTATACTTTTCAGTTGAACAATCTTGAGTGGAACGATGATTTGAACAATGGCTCATCATCAATTTATCAGATCATGAAAAGAGGGATATTGCATCTCGTAAGTGGATACTATTTTGTTGGATAGTTTGTGTACAACCTCTGGCCTAGAATGATGATGAAACAAAGCGCGAAGCGAAACTTGTAGCAAGTGCAAGAGTCAGTCGATATGGTTAAACATCCTGATTTTAACGTTCGCTCTTTGTTAAAAATATTTTCTAGCGAAATGTAAACGTTGATTGTGATTAGCATTTACTTTATTTTCTCGCTACAGTTTTGTGATATATTGAAGATCTACGGATCCATGGTGATGTTTCCAGAACTGACTTTCGAAGAGGCGGTTGGGGGTTGGTCGATTTCCAAAGTCAAAGTGTGCCTGGTTTTTAAACTCGAAGTCGATATTGATATGGAAACTGTACTACACAATTACACGAAAAACTATACCTATGAAGCAGTCGGTTAGTGTCATTTATTTGCTAAGAGTCGCGCTTTGATTGTTTAGTGGTTGAATAATATCTCACTAGGAATGAAATTATTCTTGAAAGTAAAAATTGCAAACTCGTCGTATTTATTTATCTATATTTGATAGTTATTCGCCTCAGCCTCAGTGAATATTGTTGAACATGACAGGACGGATAATGCTTGCACTGTAAGTACCTACCGTTGTTCCATACAAAGCCTTAGAAAAGTTTTCTAAGGCTTTGTATGGGACAACAGGAGGTACTTACAGTGCACGCGTTTTCCGTCCTGTCATGAATCCTCGAGACGAAGTCGAGTCTGAGGCGAATAGTTGTTTTAGTATAATTGCGAAGTATTGTTTTAGTAAAATTGCTCAGGTGCTTCCGATTTCTGATTTAAATTCTTTTAGTTTTTGAAACCATTCTGTTAGAATTGTTTCGAGTACTCGTATCGAAATTAGCAGCCACTTTCCATTAGAATTTGACGGGTTTATTCAATTCAATCAGCAAAAACTACATACCTTTCTTTCGAAAAGTGTTACTCTAAACATATTATCATCTTTTGTGCTCTTCAGAGTTATATTTTCTTCTATTGCGTTTATCACTCTCTGTGTGACATTGAAAAAACGCGCGTGAAGCATCCATTTTGAAATCTAGCACCCTCGTTATTGTCACCTCGCGCAAGATAATTATTATAGCGATAAAAGGCGAAATTCACGACCAATCAGAGATCGCGCATCTCTTTAACCACTGGAGCAATTATACTATAAAACTTTACTTGTTATATGTACATCTGCGTCATCACATTATAATTTTCATTCGACGATGTTCGCCTCGCATTTGTCCACAGGAAATTTGTCCATGATGCAGTAAACCCCCTATTTTGTAGCTTTTTAGTAATAGTTTAATTTATCTATTAATGTGTTTTTTTTAGGAGTTACTTTCTCAGAATGGAAAGCTAAAGATGACGAGTGCAAAAAGTGTGACGGAGGAGGTGGACCATTTGTGATTGAAAGCGTATGTGAGGAGAAACAGCACAGCTGTCGGGGACAAATTAAGAGCAAGTCTAAAGAATCAATGGATTGTGCGAAGTATTGCTCCTCCTCAGCTTCAGCTCAGGGTAGGAATGGATAAAATTATATAAAAATTTAGGGATCTATAACCGCTTCAAGGAAAACATCACTTATTCTGCATTAACGATCATAACTTCGATTAAATCTTTGTAAATTAAATTTTGTGGCAATTCGATTTCTGTAGTATGGTTCCTAAGTAACTGAATGACACTAGCATTAAAACATACTTTTTGTTTTATTTTTCATCAGCCCATTGTACGGAAACAAATAGCTACGAATCTATCTACGGCACTAACAATAAGATACCACTTACAATACTAATCATAACCATTACAATTTCCCCAAATGTGATTGGTGCATTTGCTGCTTTATTCTTCACTAATCATTCCGCACAGTTGTAATTGGACAGTTGGCTGTAATCGGACACCTATGATCGGACAGTTGAAACAGCCAATCATACTCAAAATTCACAAATCACAGAATTGATTACATTAACCATAGCAACAATCACTTATCCTAAAAAAAACTGGGGAATTTCCAAAATGGAGGAATTTTTTCCTTTAAACACTGTCTCTACCGGAGATGTTTGTCCAAAATGCATTTGTTTTTCTTTGGGGGGAAAATTGTACCAATCATGATTAATCGGTAACAGGACTTCTTGTCGTCAAATTCTGTCAGTAATCATACTCGTGATTGACAAATCGGACTCCCGCTTCGCGGTCGCCCGGTTTTGTCAATCACTCGCATGATTACAGACAGAACTGGACTACACTCGATCCTATTACCATTATTCATTGAATGTTACGTTATTTACATCAGCAACCTTTTTATTTCTTTTTTATTACACTTTATTAACTAGAGGAGGAAACAAAATGGAGAAAAAAATAACTAGATCTTTTGTTTTTCATTCCTACCTATAGCAAAACTATGTGACAGTGCAGCAAATATATAATGTAAAAAAAGAGGTATCACTATTTTTATTATTCATTTGTTTATGTATTAACTATTTTGTTTCTTTATTCATTCATTTTCAGTGGTCGCTGCGGTTTCCAACCTTATTCTGGCCATGTGGATCTCTATTTCTTACAAGTAATGATAAGTTTTTCATAATTAAATTCATGTCCATAGACATCTAGTGGAATAGTATGTGACGTATTGTATTTCGCTTAAACTAATTTTAATTTTCTGTTTGTTTTTACAGCTTTTAGCACGTACTGAAAGGTCTTGAAGTATGGATCCAATAAAAAAAAAACTCGAAGTTTAAAGTCCAGTAGTATTTTCTTTTGTTTTTATGCGTAGAATACTTTTGTCTAGACTGTTCGAGTATATATCGAAGATATAGTACTTAGTAAAGTGTACCATTTTACTGCTATAGAAAAAGATAGCTATTATCGGTTGTTTTAGGTAATACAGATAATTGTAGGTTAGCAATGGTTTGTCATTAAAAGTCTTCAAGACAAATTCAGTGTCAAGTTCTCACAGTTTCTACCTAAAGAAGATAGACATTCGAGCAATTCTACTTTATTTTGTTTCCATTCGAATGCTGTCTATTCAATATAAGATCATATAAAAGTATCTCTGCGATAAGCGGGCAAGGAAATTGTCCACTGTTAACACTTCGTTGAGCATTTTGGTGCATCGTGTTTTGCGGGCTAAAGTTGAGCTTTTGGCGGGCTAAAGGATATTTTAGCTCGTGCGCTCGCTTTATTTGTTCAAACTTGTCGTCATTTTTCATTTTTGGCTTTTAAAGCGATAATGATAATAACAGTTTATTTTCTTGGGCATAAATATGTTTTAGGCCCTTCTCACAGCTTATTTTAATCCTCGCCTAGCAGCTCGGGATAAAATGACTCTGAGTTGGGTCCAAAACATTTTTCAGTATGCCCTCCAACACAAACGCTAATGTTTTATTATACTTTTTAAATTATGTACTGGCGGGTTCTTTCCCCGGATTTTTTCCAATTTATAAAGCTCATTATAGAAAATATAGATCATAACAAAAAAGCAAGAACAACAATAACAATAACATCAAACTTCTAAAAGTTCACTGATCGTTTTTGTGGATGATTTACACTTACCACATGGGGGAAAATCACACCTGTTTGAAGCACCGTTTTTGACAAATAAACTAGAAACACTGATTTCGTGTCCCTTACATATTCTTTTTATAAAATTAAGTCCATGCACTGAAAACTGAGAGTTATCTAAAGAAGCTACATATGTGAATAAACTAACATAAGCTACGACTTGCCAAATTAAAATCGCAGTCCGACTGTTCTAAACCACAATTCTTTCGTTCCTTTTAATTTTTTTTGCGAAGCGTAATATGTTTTGAAGTTTAGTAAATTAAAGGGTTTCGTTTGTTTAGAGAAGTTGGTGGATGATTGGTATAAAAACACATTAATGCTGCAAATTGTCAGTAAATTATTCATGGCTTCCTGTCACGCAGACAGTTTTAATTGATCTCAGAAGATCTTGTTTAAATGATTTTCATACGCATGGTACAAATGAAAAAATACAGACTTTCATAATTTCGTGCATTTATAAGTTCATAATTTTATAATTTCAGCATCGTTATACGCCTTTATTTTTCGTAATTACGGTTTTAAAGATGTAGTTAAACAATCGAATCTTTGGGGCAATCTTAGTAAACATAATTCTTTTATTCAAGCGAGCAAAGTCTCAATATTTTTATTATGATAAATTTGAATCTGTCTCTAACTCAAAGATTTGTTCAGCGTTTGATTTTAATCATGAATATTTTTGTTCAACCCACGCAGTAGGATTTACGGATTCAAAACGCCAGTGAGCGGTTTCATTAAAAGTCGCGGTAACAGGCTTTCCATCACTTGCCAAAAGCTACAACTATAGCCACCGTATTCGGGGGGAAATTTTTTAAAAATCGCCTTAGGTTTGATTAATACTTCAAAAGTCTTGCTAAAAGCTACAACTTCTTAAAATGAAAAGACAGCTAGCAAGATTTTACATTACAATATATTGGTCACCCCTATTCCGGGGAAAATTTTTTTTTATCGCCTTATGATTGATTAATGCTTCCAAAGATTACTATCCTTTATTTTGAAACATTTCTCATATCTCGTTTTTCAATGATTTCTGATAAGGAATGCCGTTTGCACTTGTTGAGATTCTCACGGAGATCTGCCGTTAGCATCAGAATCTAAAATCTTTTGTTCAAAATACGGAGAAGGGTTTTATGTTTAAGAGAAAATTCATCATTATCGCAAACTCCTTTTTGCATTTGCAAACATGAATACAACTCCTTTGCCGGCAGACAGACCCCAAGAACGCGAGCAGCACGGCAAAATTTGTCAATCGATGGAGAAAATTCGCCAGAAGTTGCTACATCTTTTCCAGAGTCTTGAATAACACATTCTTCTTGCGTCGGATCAACCGATTTTGTGGCTTTATTTGACACCAAACATTCTTTCTTGTTCTCATATTTATCCTGACACGCGTTCGCACATTTACTGTGTATGCTTTGCGATCGTTTATGAGCAATCTCCATTTCATTTGCATAGCATACTTCTCGAATTTTGAAAGGGTTTTTCCGTTCGATATCAATTTTTGACGCAGGAGCAACGTCTATGAAAGTAGGAGTTGCACTCGTCTTTTGGTGATTATCGCAGCTACTCTGAGGCAATATTTCTAAGGTGTTTTTCTGTAATCTAACATCTTCGTTTGCAGGGAAGATCGCAGCATTTCCTTTTCGGCGAGTGCCTAAGTTAGGCATTCCTAAATTGTAGCTGTACCTGTAAATATGCTTGTTGAACGTTGAAATCTGCGTCTCTCGGGGTGTTTCCTCACTTCTTTGTTTGAGCGGAAGACTCTTTGATGACGGTTTCATACCAACCTTAGTTTCGCATTACCACCGAAGGAGGGCTGATACCCGCAAAGTTTCTACATGCCGTAGAGAAAATCCTCAAATAAACAGGTCGTTTTTATAAATTTAGTTAGGCTCGAATTATAAACATCCTCCCTTCATCCGTCATTGTTCTTTCCAAGTACCTGTGAGCCTAAAACCGAATAAAATCTCGCCATTTTTCTGTAGGTAAGTATTATCGTCTGCCATACTAAAATCTTATTCTATTTTTCCTTTGTTCGCTTTGGGAGTCTTGCAGGTGCAACATCCAGTATTCATTGACGTATGGCAATCGATTGTAGTGAAGTGTAAATTACAGCTCGAGACAATGTCTAAATAGTTATCAGATTGCCTTTTCGTTTGATATGCCTTAAGGCCAAACGTTGAAATGAGAAATGATACAACTACTTCACCACGATCTATTCATCTTAAGAAAAGAAAAGATTTTATGAGAACGACAACTAAAATAGTTTTTTTCCCAAATCTCAGCGTTGATGTTAAAATTTCTCCGTGTTTTGCAGAATTAATGCCTGTAATAAGATGTTTAGGTGAGTGATTACGCACGCAATTTGAAGTTTAATAGTCTAGAAAACGACTTCCCTCGAGATTGATTGCATTCTAAAAGTCTTGAGAACTGTAGGGAATCAGAAATGGCGACAATTCTTGCATTTTGAGATGTAACCGGCGCCCACAAACAGTATCTTATCAGCTCTAGACGAACCAATAAGCCCACGAAACTTACGTGGCTGGGGTAGGGAAATAGGTTAGTAAAATTTTCCCTCTTTCTTAGCTTGGAAATAATTTTGACAAAAAAAGTCACCCACTAAAACAAACCGAAATTTAAGGCAATGCTGCTCTTTTTTGCACATTAGGAATCTCAGGGAGGGACTAAAAATAATCGTTCAATGGATAGCTAAACGACTGCTTGCCCCTACCCTCTTCTGAACTGGAGTCAAATAAATTTTTGCGATGTTCATGTGTTCGTTTCTTTTGCTATTGGAGGCGGCTCTGCAGCACATGCAGAGCGCAAGCGGATCCCATTGTCATGTGCTGGTCCGTAAGCGCGTAACGTTGTTGTGCTTAGGTGCGAACCCAGTTCAATCAAACAGAAATAATCCATGGTCAAACTGGTCAAAAAAGTGATTTAATTAACTCTCAGGTTTAAAATAGAACAATGAATGGCTGAAGAGAGGTGTATTTATAACCAGGCAAAGTGAGGTAGAATTGTTTATATGCTGTTTTAATAGCGGCACGTGTAGCAAGCAAGCGGAGTCTCTTTTGTCATGCGTATCAAGAAATGGCCCATTGTTCCGGGTCAACTTTTCCAAACAAAAGTCCTGAGTAATTGGTAGTCCTGAGGGATTTTGGCCGAAGGGAGGCGGAAAAGCTCGTAACTGATCGAGAAAATTATAGGAGTGACAATTTTGCTGCACTGGGGGAGTGGGTAGTGTAAATATGAATTAGTAAAATCAATCTCCATCGGTGTACCCAGGGGTAGACTTGACCCTCGTTTAGCGCATCGAGCCAAAGGTTCGCAAATTCAGAAATAATTAAATTTATCCGCATTGCAGTGACTCATTCAAACCACCTCTCTCTATATGTAAGTCAAGTCGCCTGGTTTTTATCAGTCAGTTTTGTCAACGTACAAAAATACATTTTTTGGTCTTGCTACTGATGTTAAATACAATCGAAAGTGACGGTTTTCTGTGGAGAGCCTCGAGGCGATTGAAGACCTTGTTTCTGGCGCACAGCTGTTTTCAAACGAGGCATTTTTTACGGTCTTTTTAATGACAGGAGTCTATGAGGAAACGGTTGCTAGATCCTTTTCCCTTATAACTCTACTTTTGGTGTGCTGTCTTGTAAAAAAAGAAAAAGAAAAAAAAAAGAGAAATTATAGGTTCCGCGTAACTTAACCAGCCCAGGGAAAATGGAGGAAAATTAATACTGCCTTCATTTGCGGATTTTTTCCTATCTGATAACAGGAATTTAGGATAATTTTATATGTCTCAATTCCGCACTCAGATATTTCCTCATGATTTCAGCTGAGATAAAGGAGGTTAACATATAAAATGCTTGGGAAAAGACAGATTTGAGTAAAGTTTTTAATAGTTTTTGTTGATGTCGCTGTTACCGCTGTTATATTTTAAATTCCTAACTTTTTGTATAAAAAGGCCCTAGATAAATAGCTCCAGCCCTCTCCCTCCCAAAAACGGTAAAAAAAAAATAAAAAAAGTTGAAACAAGAACCAAAATTGGTAGCATCGAGCATCACTTGTCTTTTGTAGAGAGCATTTTCGATATTATTTTAGGGGAGAGAACAAAAGTCATTAATAAAAGGTATACGCAAATTTTTCTTAAGTTCCTTTTCTATTTCATGATCGATAAGTTCTAAAAAAAAATTCATTCTTATTTATAAACCTTTTTTCTCTTTCTTCATTATACAAGTCCTTGAAAATTCAGATTTTTCCTACTTGAGTTTACACGATCGCTTTTGGTTATTTAGACCGATTATCATAGAAAGAGGAAATTTATACTAATTTCAATTGAGACAAGCCATCTTTATCTGGCATCACGCAACAGATTCATACATTGGGTGATGTATGAATAGATTCAGTATACATTGGACAATTCGACTTTTTCCAGAAAATAGTAAACTTAGATTAAAAATGTCAAACTCTATATTTCCCAAACCAGAAATATCGAAATAATCGGCAATTTAACGGTCGACAGATGCCACCTGCTATTGAGGTGAGTACCTTTAAACTAATCATTGAACATGTTTGTGCTAATAACCTTCTCTTAGACTTGCACAATACGCGATTTTAACTTTTGATAGATAAGCTATGTTTATGGACGAATATACCGAGGCAACAAAAAATTGTAACTATTCTTTGCCACATGTCAGTACTGTTCTCTTGTAAAAATAATTTTTCAGATATGATTGAGAGCGGTTAAAATGTGCTTCCGTACGATGCAGAAAGATCAAATTTCCGCCTAGTAAAACGCGGGAAAATTGAACATAACATAGTGTCATGCCTAAATGTTATTGAGAGAGGAGAGATGGGAATGTAACTATTTTAAATGAAGTAATTCGTATTTGCCGAAGTTTTTAGTCGTTTTGAGTTCATCTAATATCCAATTTTCTGAATAAGAAACGCTAAAAAAACTTTCGTTAAATACTCTTTAATTTTTCAAAAATGAGTTCCAATCATGGATAGATGTTGAATGTCGGATTTTGACTTAGTCTTTGCTCGTTGTTGTAACTTTAACTCTTTTTGTATCAGTAAAAGAGAATAGGAGAGATATATAGATGAAGTTGTACTCATAAGTGAATCGAAGGATAAAAAAATGATTCGCCGTCTGCGACTCACCTTTTCCAAAAGTGAAGTTAGTCAATAATGCAGTCCAGGTTAAGAACATGAAAAATGAACAAATTCCATGCCTTCTTCAAGGTAACGGTTTTCTGTTTCTACCACGCGCGTATGACACAAGTTTTAAGTTGATCGCTAGCTCCAAGCAGTGGATTAAGCTTCCCAAATCGACCTGTCGTTATGAACGAAACCGTATCATTAAAATAAATTTTAAAAAAATGCTTGCAGCTGTCAGTTCCATGTGGAAATTAATGCAAATGGCGCAAATGGATGTTATCCGCTTCGCTCGATGGAGAGAATTGGGTCTCTTAGGAATATCTTCACATGTTAACATACGTATTAGACACCGAAATTAGTCCTTTGACCAACATTGTAAAAATTTCGATTAATTCTTTTAGGTCCAATTGACGGCGAAAAACGCTAGGAAAAGCAGATACTTAGAGTGTGCTGGCTGTAAGTGCGCAACAAACTTCCGTATTAACTCTGATTATGACTGTTGAATTTTCGAGCGAACCCAGAGCAAACAAGCACTAACCCATGGTCAAAGTGATCAGTTAAAAGTGATTCGATTTACTTAAAGAAATGAAAACACAGGCAAACGAAGCAAAGTAAGATTTTAAAGGTTTGTGATGTTTAACAGCGGCACGTGGAGCACGCACGCGAAACTTCTATTGTCATGTGCCGGCCACAAGTGGGTAACGAACGTCTGTACATATGCTAATCCTCTGTTGTATTTGTGAGCAAACTCAGAGGAAACAAAATTCACCATAGTCGAAATGTTTAGTTAGATGATTCGATTTTCTCACAGGAATTAAAAATCAATACTTCAACGCCGAAAAAGGTTGATTTATTAGCCAGGCAAAGTGAGGCAAAATATCACTCGAGAGGTTTATGCGTTGTTTTAATAGCGAAATAAATCATTCCAATTTTAGATACTTTGACCTGATCAATTTTTCTTTAAACCAAGGTTTAACTGAAGACCGATCAAAATGGTATTTTCTGATTGACAGACTTGTTTAATTTCTGTAACTAAAAGCCTGTCGATGTTGTTTTAAGAAAAGGTCTCTCCGATTTTACTTCATGGCTATCGACCACTCGCGACTAAACATAGTGGTTTTACAATTCTAGTGTTAAATAATGGGTTTCGAAATTATAAGCAAGTCCACGAGAAGTTTCAATGTGAAATACTACATGTTCTCGTTTTCTGAATACATGTGTGTCGCAACATACTTGGTCTCACCGCCAGACTGCCATTTCAGGAGGCTCTCTCTCAAGCATTTATGTTTCCTTTTGTCATAGCGGAGAAAGTATGACCGAAGGAACCGCTCGAGCTATCAACTTGTGCAAGAAATCTTCGACCAAGATTTGAAACTGGCACTTTTTATTGTTAAACAAATTAAAAAATACAGTAGGGATCTGAGTTTTTGTTCTTAATAGTTAATAAATAAGGCCTTAAGGTGAAAGTTAATGTAGGTGTGGGATTGCCTCAGGTCTGTTCCGATGATGTCTTTAGTTTAGAATCCGTAGTGTCCATGGCTTGCTCTGAAGAATCTTAAAAGAGAGAACAAGCGCACCGTAACAATGAGATTACAACATAGTTAAAAGAGGAAGAGACAACAGCCAGCAGAGTTTGCTTGTTGTGTAAACAATGTGAACGAGACATGGTTTGATGCTACTCTGGTTCAAAGATTTAATGAATGTAACCGAGATGTTACAATTCATAGACCCAATGTTTCGATGTAACTTTCTCGTGCCTTCATCAGGAGTGATCTAATCGCTGTAACAAGAGGCCTGTTATATGTTCACTTATTAGCTGCCCTTTATTCTGAGAGGAGTAAATAGGTGTTAGGTACTCATCTGCCATCATCACGATTTAAAGGAAGGCGGGCGGAGTTGATATGCCAGGCTTCCAAACAAAGGCGCTGGTGGTAACGTCGATTAATCGTGATAAGATTAGTAAGATTAGTGAATGTGCGCACAAAATGTTACATAGTGGTGACGGCTTATATTCACGTTTTCACGGCTTACCTAAAATTCGTAAACCGGGAATTCCATTGAGAATTATTACTAATTCTCCGACTGAAGCAATTTCTTGTTATCTTGTGAGAATTTCGTTGCCTGTTGTTGGGAGTACTGATTACACAGTCAAAAATTCCTGCGAATTTGCGGATTTCATCAGGGACAAAACTCTTAACGCTGGTGAAAAATTGGTATCTTTCGACGTTGTTTCGCTCTCCACTAAAATCCCACTTGATCTTGTCGTTAAAATTGCGGAGGAGAGACTCAGAGAAGACGCTTCCCTAGGACAAAGAACTTCTTTGCCTGTGGAGGATATAACTCATCTGGTGTCTTTTTGCCACAAAATCACGCAATTTGCATACAACGGTACCTACTATCAACTGGTTTTTGGTACAGCTATGGGTTCACCCGTCTCTGCTGTCATTGCTAATATGGTTATGGAAGACGTGAAAAAAAGGCGTTAGCCCTTTTTCTGGAAATGACGTGTCGATGATGTTATTTCTGCGGTATCCGGAAATGAGGCGGAACGCCTCCAATCCATTTGAATTCAGTGAAGCCGTCTATCCAATTCACCCATGTGCGTAAATAGGATAAACACTTGCCCTCTCTTGATTTAAATGTGTGCAGGGCGGTACAGGGAAATTTAGAGATAAGTGTTTATCGTAAACCCAATTACACTAACGAATGTCTCACTTTCGAGTCTCACCATCCTATTTGCCATAAAAAGTCTGTAGCCAAAGTAGCGTCAAACCATGTCTGATTGTCTACCTGTTTGCCTTGTGAACTTTACTACATGCAAAGTGAATGATTAAAAGGAAAATAATTTGAAGGAAAAAATGATTACAAATAACACGACAAACACAAAGAAAAGAGAAACGAATGTAAACGTACGCAGTTCAGCACAAGTAAGATATCAAAAACCACAAAATCACTCACCGGTGAGAGCTTCAGGACCGCTCTTATCGCTAACAGTGTTTCCTTCAGATTTCTGCTGCTGATTTGACGTAAGATTGGGTACCAGTCCGACGCCGATAGCAGCACGTAAACCTCCAAGCGACGTGACATCTTCTGGACAAGCCTACAAAGATTTAGAAGTGTAAAATCGAGAACAATTCTAAGAACTTTATTGTTAAGTGAAGCATTCTCTGCCATTAAAAATAAAAGAGGGAGAAAAACATGCTAAAAAATTTCGGGAGATATTAGCGTGGATTGTTCAAAGAAGCAAGCTCATGAAGGAAATGGTGTTTGCTATCTACATCAGCCAGAACTTCTCCAAGAATACTTATCACGGAGAATTTTCTGGAGCAGAATTCCTCTTTATCAGGCCTTTATAGTTCCCTACACAACTGCATCAGCCAGATCATCTGCACGAAAAAGGTTCGTCCTTAGAAGTCTCCTTGTTAAAGGACTGATATTTTCACTTCTTTGAACAAGTGAAACCTTGTAAAGGAAAAATTTGCGCTTAGACACTTGTTAGCTTAGATGCGGGCTGATGTTCCAACATCCTACTCTCAAATTCCAAACTAAACAATCACAACAACATCTGCGACAAACAGGGAACAATTTTGCTCATTTTAAAGCACTTACCTGCGCAGTAAGATCTTTTAGATTCTGCGTCACGTGATCCGCTAAGTTAGATTAAAAAAAAGTCGGTTAAGTACAACGTGAAGAATCTAAAACGACAATTGAATTACAAACTGGTTCTCCTTAAGCATAACCAGGTAAGAGGATAAACCAACATTTTGCTAAACGGAAAGAGTACTTTGAGTAAAGCTGTGTCTGTGTAAAAATTTGTTGTAACGGTCAAAGGTATGAGCGGTAGTCTAGGGATCGAACTTTCTGTGGCTCAGTCCGACCTCGTTCAGACTCTCTCTGTTTTGCTTTTGGGCAAGAAACTTCACTCACGCAGTTTCTCCGCAAAGAATTATACAAAGATTCTGGGCCGAGTAGTACAAAGCGCTAAGACCTTGTTACTAACTGATTGGGATCAAGGAGAAAATTACAAACATATTTTAAATGACATCTCTGCGCACTTTTTCGAAACTAGTTGAGAAAAAAAAAAGAAAAAAAAGGGAAATCATCTTCTCACCTAAAAGCTTTTCTTTTGAGGAGGGTCTAACGGCTGCTTCAGGGGTGAGCCCTGCGGGGCCATCTGGTCTGTGACTTAGTCGGGCACTTTGTACCTCTTGCAGGTCATCTAACAGTTTGCCAGTGGCGTGTAATTTGTCCGAAAGTAAAGAGCTAGAGGCCAGATATGATATTTATTAGAAAAAGTCTGTTATAAGTTGTGCGAGAAAAAAATGATAAACAAATTCACGACTTAAGCGGTGAATGGAAACACACCTTAGTGACTCACTGCTTGACAAACCTGAAGGAAGAGAATGAAGAAAAGGAAAAAACTCCTTATCAGCCACTTCATTCACAAAGACTCGCAAAGTCGCTCGCCTTATACTAATTTAATATTAATAATCGTATAATAATCGTAAATTTCAGCAACAATATATTCTTTGTACCTGGGGAATTTAGAAAAGATACATCGATCCCTTCGTCCGCAAGACTCAGGAGAGATTGGAAATCAATTTTGGGCGCACCTCCTGTGGTGGAAAAAAAGAGAAAAAAAGAGTTTAGTAAAAGTGTGAGCGGATGAAAACAGCTGCAAGTAAATAGCTCAGAAATAAACAATTCAAACTACTAATGAGATGCAAACATACCAGAAGACGAAGAATCTGAAGTAGAAGTTGCTAAAGTAGCCTGTAGAATAAAAAATGAATGTAGGTTTCGTTACTCCCTTATGGTGTCACCATTGTCTACCTATCTTTTTACTCATTTAATTAAAACTATTTTTTAATCTGTCTATTGTCACGATTATCACGTTATAGCACGTTTCTTTGTTAACTAAGTTCACGTAAGGCCATGTGAACAATAGAAGCGAACGGTTTACAAAACTACAGATCAATTCACCAGTCCAACAGTTTGTTTCAAGTTTTCCTTGATGACGTGTTACGTTTACTTTCGTCTGCCTTAAAATGGCGATATTCAAATCCTGTCTTGAACATCTACGTACTTACAGTAAGGCGTATGTATAAACAATAGCCGGCGGTGGATGCAAAATGAGGAAGAAAAAAAAAAAGACTACCTCACTTTGGCGCGTTGTAATTATTACAGTGAACAGCGAAGAAATGTGATTGGCGAGGTACATGTGCGTTTAACTAATATCGGAAAGCAATTGGGAATTTAATTGTACGTGCGACAGTTTGACAAGAAACAATAGAAAGAAAACATATAGACTTGTCTCAATACGGCAGGAAATCGGTTGGAACAACAGGTTTGTTGAAGCAGAAGGTAAACTGGTGAAACACTAATAACCAGATTAAAACAGTACCTAGAAATGAATAATAATCAATCTTTTAACACAAGTGAGCACAAGTTGTTTGCGAACTAGAGACAAAAAAAGTTACCATACCTTAGAATTAACACTTGTTTCCGCGGTGGAAACAGCGACTGTCTTATTGACGTCTTGGCTTTTCTGAAGCGAAACAACAGGCAAATGTTCAAATTTAAAAAAGCTCTAAGCCTAAAAAGATAGAATGCACTTAATGCTACCATTATATGCGACAGAATGTAAGGAAAGGATTTAATTAAGTTGGTAAGTAAACAAGAGTTTGGAGTATGTGTTTGGACGCAGCAATACTACGTGACAACCCTACGTGAACTGATGGTAAATCGTTGCTCAATGAGTGACTAGCATTTAATTTCTCCCAACAATACCATCCCTGAGTGAAGAATTTTGGTCAAAAGAATAAAGAAAATGATCACCAACTAAAGCAGCCCTTGATTGTTAAAAAAATTCTCTTTGCCGCAGCTGAGGAAATGTATAGAGAACAGTATGGTGAATATGCAAACTGATGTTAGGGTGTAATGGGTAAAGGCTCATCGCTGCTTATCTCTACACAGGATTTTTCTCATTTTTTCAGTCCTAATTGATTGATATTAGTATCGGCTATAAACCGTAGAAGCATTTAAATGCACCTCGCTTGAAGAAACTGTAACCACCGATTTTTGCTCACTGTTTTGATTCTCTTTAGCTTGTTTTTCTTCCTCGGCCTTCTCTTTCTGAGAAAAAAAAAAGAAATGAATGGAAATAAATTAGTAAAAAATACATGCAAGGAGAGGACAAATTACAACTCGGCGACTATGCGTCTAGTGACCAACCTTCGCACAGCTCGCTAAGTCTTACCTCAGCAATATGTTTCACGTATTTAGAATGTGCTCCTTCGGTCAGAACGTCCAGCAGCCTATCCACAGCTTCATGTGAGAAAGAGGAAGCGTCCTTGACAAAGGCTTGAAGACTGCACATCGAAAAAAAAAATTGTAAACTTGTTAAAAAAAAATTCTCCTTGTTAGCATCTTTCGAAATGTATAGAGTACAGCATGGAGGAAATGCAAAGTGAAGTTATGGTGTAAGGGTTAAGAAAAGGAGTGCCCGAGATCTCAGTATTAAAACCCAGGTCATATCCTCGCCTTCTCACCTTTTGGCGTAATGTATACCAGTGTCATCACCATAGGTGCTGTAAAGCAAGTCTGAGTGTTCTTTTGTTATTGTGGCTCTGGAAGAATCGTACGTGGGAGCGAACGAGCCATAAGGTCCATACATCAAGTATGAAACTAAAACGAAAAAGAGGTGTCCAGGACTATCAACACACAAGACTGATAAAATAATACAACGATCAAATAAAGAAAATCATCAACTTTGGAATAGTGTTTGATTTAGCACAAAAATTCTCACAGCAAATAAATGTATCGTAGACAGTGTGAAGAAGTGATCTTTACATTTTGAGAAAGGGTTAAAAAAGCAAAAAGAAAAGAAAAAAAAAAAAGAAAACCGAAGTAGGTACGGGCGCATTCGTACCCGGTGTGGCCTTGTTTCTTTTGTCTTCCTTGAAGCCAGCGGTCGTGTGTGAGCCATTGACGACTTTGCCAAGCTGTGTTCCGAGATTAACGTTAAGATATTCTGGAACTGAAACAGCAAAGGAAATGAAAAAAGAAGTTAGGGCGTGATAACTTTTTAGTGATTTTTCTTTCGTAAAAATAGGTTTTCAAGGATGGTTGAAACTGGCATCAGATGCTGTACCTTCAGAGTCCACTGGGTTTACTACAGCTAAAGTCGTAGTTCCGTCTTTGTCTCGACGTAGAAAACCGACCTGTAAATCACCACAAACGTTTACAAGTAGTGGAAAAATTCTACTAACAGTATAACAGTAAAGAGACAGTCACAAGGGGGATATTCAATACAGTATTGTGCAAAAGTAATGCAAACGAAATGCGCAAATTTCGTTCTTTGCTCTTCCAAGCGACACTTCCGTATAGTCAATAGGAAATATGGCCAAAGATTCTAAACAGAGGGATTTTTATCTTCCAGCTGTTGGGATCAGGGATGGTGATCACCGTCTTTCTTCTAGCGAGGACACGTTATAGAGGCTGGCACATTATCTGTTCAGCATACCTTACTATTGGCATGTTTTGCCTCCAACTCAGCTGCCATACGTTTTGATGCCTCCTGAACTTGAGCCAGAATTTTTCTACTAGCAGAGGTGTGCTTTGAATCAATCCTGGATAAAAATAGAGAGTTAAATATACCACAACCACCTTTTCAAAAACTAGAGATATGTTAACTCCCTTATTCTTGAAAGACGAACGACAGACAGACAGACAGACCAGTAGACAGCCAGACTAACAGACATACAGAGTGACAGACCTAGAGACTGATAGACCGACCAGCAGACAAACAGAATGATCCACCCCTCTTCTTCAGTAAGGAGTACCAGAAACTGACTGGAAGGATATAAGCAAAAAAAAAATTGTGTTACCTTGGCTTAGTCCTTTTTGTTGACTGTGGGACATGGTTTTCCTCTGTGTCTACTGTATCAACGTCAATTGGTTCATCTGAGCCACGCCCATCTGATTCATTACCCTCATAGTCTGGTACAGAAAACCCAATACTGTGATACATGTTTCTCACTTTCTCCTGTCAATTAAAATAAAAAACAGAAATTGAGTACAAACACTAAAGTAATGAACTGAGTTATGAAGGAAGAGTTTTCAATGTTTCAAACTGCTGGAATTCCTATTTTAAAAGTGGATTCTACCATAACTGACTCTGATTTCCATAAAGAAAGCTTAAGCTTAGCTGTCCTTTCACTCTACATTTTCAAAATAGTATAAAAAATGCATAATCATGCAGTGTACACTGTAGGTATTTGCTAAATATGCACATGTATATCACATGGAAATAAAAAAAGAATGAATTTGTTGAATTAATACATTTGAATGAATAAATGCAAAAATGAATAAGCAAAAGAAAACAGCAGGAAACCATGAAATGAAGGATAGGACGAAAGATTTACAAAGGAACCAAAACTGAAAGAATACAGGGAAAAATCCGGAATTAAAAAAAACTGTGAAAAGAGCCAGTAAATCAGTGTGGATGTATTAATAAGCATTATCTGGCAATAATTATGAAGAAAAAGTTCCATAATGTTAAAAAACTTACAGGTGACAAAAGTTTAGATCCTGTTTGAAGTAGCTTTTTAGCTGCTTTGTAGTAAATTGTCTCAGGTGCATTGTAAACCATTGCATTGTTACACATCAAGTAGAAATCATCCTGCAAGAGAAACATGGGCAAGTCTGTATTGGAGCCAACTGGACTGTTTCCATACCAGGAGTGTTACTACTCCCCCCTGTATGGGATGCTAGCTCATCACAAGGTTACTCCTAGCATTTCATCAGGCTTCCCTGAAAATTTGACAATACCTATTTATACTCCTGGGTGGAAAGAGGCTCTATGGGAGTGAAGTGTTTTGTCCAAAAACACAACAACATGCCTCAAGTGGTTCTCGAACTCAGACCTCTCAACTGGGAGTCCAGCATACTGACCACTCAAGGCCATCTTGTCTCCTTCATAAGAGAAGTACATTTATTATGAATAACAAATTTCAATTCTGGCAAACATGCACAACAGAGTCAATTTCTCAAACTTTGTTTTTTTTACTCACCCTAAACTGCTCAATAGAAAGATAATCATTAGAATCAATCTTGTATTTCATGGAGCTGAAGTCCATTGGGTGTGTGATAATGTTAGAATACCCTGGAGCAATGGTATCATTCACAGGGTAAGCAAAGAATCCCTGGGTATCCTTCCTGTGAAGAGCAAAATATTATTTTGTTACACAGTTATTTGTAATGATTTTTAGACACATACCTTAAACCCCGTAAAACATGGATCTGAAAACCCTTGGGTGTACTTGGAGTTTTGAATGATTTGCAAAGGCAAGAAACAGGTAGCTATCCATGTAAGACAAAGTACCAGGCATATACAACACAAAAAAGTGTGGATAAGCCTCTGCCAAATGTTTATTTTTGTAAACGAGATAAGGGGCACAGTTAAGGGTATTCCACATGTCATTACACTAACAGAATAAGACTAGTATTTTGATCATTAAGATTCCACATAGATCCATGAAAGCTTATTTGCCTGTCTTGACATACACACACTTGCACCCCAATAGTTCATTATCAAGGAGTCAAAAACTAAGCATTGGCTGACCTCTGAAGGGTACGATGTACATTTTCCAAACATAGCTGCAATGGTGAGATCTCTGGTTCTCGTATATGACCTTTAAAATAAAATTTTAGGAAAAGATAGCAGACTTTCAGATACAACTGTACAAACCTTTTAGTAATTTCCTTAATATACAATCAAATCAGGTCAAAAATTAACATCCATCCCCCTCTGCTCCATTAAAATCTATCAATGATCCCATCAGTAATTTAAGTCTTTGATAGAAGCATGTGATATTATCATTATTGCTGTTGATGCAAGCACCAAAACTGCACTCCTGCAAATATGAGGTGTTATCCAAATTATGTTGTCAAAATGAGCCTGATGTTCTCAAATAATAATACAATGCATTCTATACTAGTTTATACATTCAAAATTCTTAATCCTGAAAGGCTGTTAGCTATATTCAAAGTGAAAGACTTGATCTTGGCCTTGACCTTGTTCAAAAGTTGGATGAAGTATCCATGATACCTTGCTAATGAGCTCAAAGTACACTTAAATTCCATTTTGTTTTTGTTAGACAGACAGGTAAATGAATGATGAATTGGCACCATAATTTCAGATGATGTTATCACCTACACTGAATAATAATTATTAAAAAATAATCTAACTTACCACTCACTTTTTTAACCTCTGGACTGTTCCTAAAACAAATCAAATAAGGTTACAAAATGTAGTAAGGACTTAATCCCTCAAAAAAAATAATACTCAACAAAAAATAAGCTACCATATTCACTTCACTTGTTGATACCTGATTGGTGGTTCAATTGGTTTAATGTAGATTTTCTTTATGGGTCTCTCAGCCTCATTGACACTGCTACTTTCTCCTTCCATCTCTTGTCTGTCTCTTTTTTTCTTTGATCTCTCATGGCCACCAACAGATGAGGGTGAAGCACAAGCCTGCAGAGAAATAAATAATAACAAATTGTTCAATCCATTGCTACAATTATTTCCCAAAACTACAACACTAGGTCCTGCACAGAAGTTAAAAAAAATTACATAAAGGATCTAGAGGGTGGAGTTAACCTCTTTTAAACCTTAAACTCCCAGAAGTGATCAACATGAAACTTCTCCTTATAATATCCTTACATTATCTAGCAAACGAGTAATGAGAATATTCAAACTTATTAGGTAGAAGTTGTTATTTTGATCTTACACCAAATTCTCATGGCTAATTTACAAGGATATTTGTAGCAGCTAGAGAGGAGAATTAACAATCAGATCTTGGGAGTTAAAGGGTTAGCATTGTTATCAATAGTAAGCAAATTACATTTAATTGGATTAAACAATGAAAATAAACCAAGGGCAGCAAAACAAAACTGAACCAACAATCAAAAACAAACAGAAAGAACTGGATTCTCAAACTAAAGGAAACTTTTATTGCTGGGTGCCTATTGGAAGAATTCTTTTAAATTATGTCGATCCCTACAATGACTTCTGCTCACTCACAAAACGTCTAGACTTGGTAATTATTATTTTCTTTAGTCACAACACAACACAAAACATGTGTGCTCTCTATTGGAATGTTGTAACACAATTTCTTGAATCCTCACACTAGAAGCATGATCCATCTTGGGTTTCTTTCTCTCTCTTGAAGACGATCTCTTTTTCTTCTTCTTTTTGGAAGAGTGTTCTTTAGATTTCATTTTCTCTGGATTTAGCGAGGTTCTGCTCGCTAAACTTGGCGACTCTTGCTTGGCAGCGACTTTTTCTTGGTTAGTTCCAACTTTAAGAACAAGTTTGATCGGCTTCTCTCCTTTATCAGCTTTTTCTAACCTTTCGGATTTCTCTGAAAATGTGAAGACGTGGTATTGAGATTTTCTAGCTCTATGTTCAGCATGTCTCGTGAGTGGACGAATGTTCGTGATCAACAATAAAATTCGAGATTTTGTTCAAAACATGGCTTACCCTCACCGGCATCATTGCCTTTCTTGTGATGCTTTTTACTCTTGTGCTTCTTTCCCATGGTTTTGTGGTATCAAGAAACTCGTTAAATTTCCCCCCACTCGACAAAATGATGTCCAAAATTCAATACGATCCCTTACAAAGAACACTCTCCAGCCGCCATGTTGAAAATAGTATCCCATGATGCATAGTATGAGCCTTAGTCATACCCAGTCTACTCAGCAAAGCAGATGTCCCAAGTCATTATGGCGAGCAGCGAGAGGGAATTTGCCATCGTTGTTTTCGGTGCTAGTGGATTCACCGGCCAATATGTGGTGAGAGAGGTGGCGAAGAACTGCAAGGGAAAGTTTAAGTGGGCTATTGCTGGTCGCAGTAAGGACAAACTGGAGAAGGTTTTGCAGGAGACTGCCAGCGAACTTGGTAGGTACACTGCATTTGCACAACATCCCCACAGGGTGTTGTTTTTTCAGATGGGGTAACATCATTAACGAGGGTTAGTGTTGCCTTATCGATTCTTAAATCTGTAACACATTTCGTTTAAACCATCTTGGCATCATTTGGGGGTGTTTAAGACGTTTAATAATTCAGCTGGTAGGTTGGGAAATATAAAGAAGAGCAATTCTTTTTTTGCAAAAATGCAGGCTAGACCTTTTGGACCTGCATCGGAATTTGGACCGGATGGCACTTTTCCAATTTTTTTTTCGGTTATATTAAAACTGACTGACTTTATAAACTACACGTGATATTTATTTTTTCTTCCGTGGCTCATCACACATAAACATGGGCAGTTTCTCGTGTGTTCTAACATGCATTTACTCCAAAGTTCAATGGAGTGAACCTTCAGGATTGACCTTTCCACTGTAGCTGTTGTGTGCCTGTGGATGTGTTGCTCACCTGACAATCACAATTTTTTTTTGTGTGTGTGATTATTATTAATTATTATTGGTAGTCATGCATTTAAAATAGAATAAAGTGAAACACATTTCCCTTAAATTCAACAGAGAGGCTCATAATTTCTTTAAGAAAAAGTAGGGTGCAAGGTTCCAAACTCTGGAAAGATAGAGGATATAGAAGCCCTGTTCCATATATATACTTGGAGAGGTTATGATGCTCTCTGTTTAATTAAAGGGGAGATGTGTTTCATTTTAATTAATTTTAAACATGACAGTTGCTAGTGTGCAAACATAATATTCATGTTATGTATTTCTATCTCAAAGTTTTTTTATTATTACAAATTTCTAAGATACCCAAACTGCAAGTGCTATTACATTGTGTAGAGTGCGCAGTAACAAATTTTTCATGAAATAATTCATTACTTTAACCCTTAACCCTTTAATTCCCAAGATCTCATTACTAATTCTCCTTACTGTCTTCAATATAGTTTGTTTTGATGTTGGTTTTGTGAATTTGGTAATGGATCAACTAATAATCCCCTAATCAATATTTTTCCTTATTCTCATCACTTGTCTGTTTGATACTGTTTTGATATTGTAAGGAGAAATTCTGTCTTGGTCACTTATGGGAGTTACAGGGTTAAATCCCTGGGAGTGATTAGCATCCAATTTCTCCCTACAATAACACCCCTGAATCAAGCATTAAGGTCACAAGAATAAAGGATATGATCACCAACTAAAGAAGCTCTTGATTGTTAAACAAATTCTCCTTGTCAACACCTCAAGAAATGTATAGAGAAAAAGTATGGAGAATGTGCCTATCGATTTTAGGGTAAAGATTTTAAAAATAATAAATAGATAACTATAGTTATTAAAGTAGTTATTGTTTATTTTTATTATTTTACTAATACCTACTTACTTGCTATATATGAGTGTTTGTTTATTTGCTTTTTGCTTTGTTCGTTTACATGTATATACAAGTGAATTCCTGTTGATCTTCTGTCATGCATGATTTTACTTGTTTGTAGGTCTTTTTGTGGGGGATGTTGGCATTATGGTTGCAGATTGTAGTGATGAAGCTTCTCTCAGTACAATGTGTTCTGCAGCAAGGATTATTCTGAACTGTGTTGGTCCGGTAGGAGAAAATTTTCTTTCTTTCACACTGTTAATGGCTGGTCCATGACTCTCAAATAATGTCAAGTCTAGTTGAAATTTCAGAAAATACTTGACTCAGTCTGGCCCAGGGCCATTGACATGAAAACATCAGTTATAATTGAAGATGATTTAAACTTCAGCCTGGTGAATTGCTTCAAAGAGGATTTACTTTGGTTTTGTTTCACAGTACCGGTTTTATGGGGAACCAGTAGTGAAAGCAGCAGTAGAAAATGGATGTCACCATTTGGATATCAGCGGAGAACCAGAGGTATGCAACTAGACGATAAATGATAAATTAGAGCTCAAGTTTCCTCATTGTTCCACAATCTTTTACAACTTTCACTCCTTCCACTCCCAAGATCCAGTCTTCAATTTTTGACCCTTCAAGTTAACACCCAAGATCTCATCTCTAATTCTTCTTACTATCTGCAAAATGATTCTCATTATGTTAGTTTGGACAATTTGGTATTGGATCAATTAGTAATTCCATAATTGATATTTTTCTTTATTCTCATCACTTCATAGTGAGGAGAAATTCTGTCTTGGTCACCCACGGAAGTTAAAGGTTAATATCTACACTGTGTCATAAATTTCTCAGCCTTGAGAAGTCAGTTTTTCTTTTTTTCTCCTACCTTTTCTTCTGAAAAATGTACTAGTTTTGTAGAATTAAGAGACGCTATGTTTTGGTCACCCCTAAGTGATGAGAATAATCAATTAAGGGATTATTAGTGGATCCGCTACCAAATTCTCCAAACTAGCATCCCAAGAATTCTATAGAAGACAGTAAGAACTGAACTACTAATGAGATCTTGGGAGTGAAAGGATAAAGCACACATTTTGGACTGCCACCTAGTTACCGTTCTTTTCAGTGTTTCTGCAAGAACAGTATATAATTCAAAATTAAAGTAACCTGTCGACATATAAAATACTAAAAAAAGTTACAGCCACTGGTTTATTTGTGTTATACCAGTATTTTTGTATTGCATTTCTTTTCTCAGTTCCTGGAAACAATGCAGCATAAGTATCATAACAAAGCTGTTTGTGCAGGAGTGCATGTTGTGGGTACTTGTGGATTTGATAGCATCCCAGCTGACATGGGTGTGGTCTTTACCCAAGAAAGTTTTCCAGGTGCTGAACATTTGCTGTGTTCATACTCACAACAGTTATACAGATGTTTTATACTTTAATAAGTAAATGGCTGTTAACATATCCCATATAGGGATGCCAGGGAGACACAGTGGCTGTAAAAGAAGGCCATTAAATTTTAGCAGGGTTTCATTTAGCACTGTGTTACAAGTATCCCACAGGTCTCTTGGGGAGGAGGTCAGGAGGTTGAGGGCAGTTTTGTTTATAAACTCAGCGGATAAAACTAAATTATCTTATAGTACTCCCTCAGACTCTGCTCCACAGTTTCTTAAGAAAATTAGCTCTTTATTCATTTCTGTAGGGATTAAGTCTGGATTACAGTCATTAGTTTTAGGTCATTTGCATTTTTGTTACATGTTTTAGGGGAACTGTGCCATTTGGAGAGCTTCTTGACGTTGCATTCTGGTCCAAAGGTAATTTTTACAAATTGTACATCTACAAGAATCTACAGTTTACTCCCAATGACTTGAACCTTCAAGGGAAATTGAAAAAGGTTTGATGGAGTTATTGATAGTTTGAGTTATCAGGCACTGAAGATACAGGCACTGGACAAGTTAAAGTGCCTGTTGTAGCTCTTTATAATTTAATCTGATTTTGCATGTATAGCTGGGTTATTTTCAACTTTCAGGGATCAAAGGGGCATTATGGGACTTACCAGTCAATCATTTATGGCATAGCTAGTGAAAGGGAAGGAAATCTGAAAAATCTCCGAAAGGAATTGTTTTCAAAGCCAATGCCAAAGTTTGGACCTAAACTGGCCAGACGGTTTGTAAATTTATTATTTCATAATTTTGCTGAATTTAGTACTAAATATTTTATGAAAAGTTGTGCGATGTAAAATGTTACATTTTGTCTCTTTAATTGTGCAATTTTTACATCAAGTGGGGGAAGATTGATAGTGGGGGGGGGTGGGGTGGGGTGGGGTAATGAAGCAAACTGAGGTTCATGCATAATCTGTCTTCCTCAAATTGTTGGATACAGGAATGTGAGTGGTTCACGAGTAAATCTACAATTCTCTACTAATTTTGTTGCAATTGAAGTTAAAATCTCTTCAATCATAAATTTCACAAAAACCAAACTGTTAAAACAGATAAGCTCTGTATAATTAAAAACAAAATGATAATGTTATAATTATGATCATAACTACTTATAATAATAATAATAATAATAATAATAATAAACATGATAATAGTAACATTGTAATAATAATAAAAACAATGATAATAATTTAGTGTTGAATAGAACCAGACAAATTGGAAAGGGAACCATCCTCAAAACTAGGACTCGTGTCTCATCAGCCAGTGTCTTGGAACATTTTCCCCGTGATGCTTTGCTAGGAGAAAGAAACAGAACAAACGGCTCAAACATGTTGCACGCAAGTCAGTGATTGAGCAAGTCGATTGCACAATTCATTGTCAAATTGCCTTTATGTTTCCACTAGGAGTTTTATTTCATACAGTGATGAGGTACAAAAGTGGTGCATTCCCTTCCTTGGAGCTGATCCATCTGTGGTCATAAGAACACAGCGGCACAACGTGGAAGTGCGCGACAAAAAGCCAGTCCAGTATGGCGCATATGTGTCTCAGCCTTCTCTGATGGTTATTTTTCTTTTCTTGTTCTTTGGTTTCTTCTTTTACATCTTGTGTCAGTTCAAGAAAGGACGTCAATTGTTGGAAAAGGCAAGCCTTATAGAGATTAGTTCTTAGCTTGAATCAGATATTTGTAAACTTCAAAAGCGCTTTTATGATTTATCGTAAGGAAATACTGTCACTGAAGGAAAAAAATGTGCCTGTCTAGTCTGTCAGTTCATACACTTAATAATGTGTTGTACTTATATTTCTTCAGCATCCAAAGTTCTTCTCGTGTGGCTTTTTCTCACATGAAGGACCAACCAGAGAACAGGTGAGGTGCTTACGACTATCATCTCTCACAGCGCTCTCTGCGCTTCTCACTCCGTTCTCTATATTTCCTTGCTCCTTTCTGGCATGATGGGTCAAGACAATTTTGGTAAATTTCTCCACTCCTGTCTGTTATTCACAGCAGATTGCCATCTGTACTTGAAACGCAATTATAGTCGACCAACCGGCTAAGTTCCTCGAGCCAATTTTCTGTACAGTATTTGCTACGGTAGTCGAAAGTAATCCGAGATTTCACTGGTTTTGTCTCGCTTTCTCTGTGACTGGTCAAAGAAACGCGCGCCTCTCCCTCAACCAATCAGAAGCAAAACTTAAACTATTGCCGCTTGGTCGCTCGCGCTTTAGGCAGTGTGATTGTTTTAACTCTGATTTCCAATTGGTTCTAATTTTTTTTTCTCCCCTCTCCTGATTGGCCGTTGTGATTACATATTCGTGTTTCGGAGGCTTGCTGTGTATAATAAATATGGAATCACGTGAAGAGATACGTGGAGAGAAAGCCCTACAAGAGATCTGTTGAAACGCAGTCCATTTTAACATCCACCTCTGTTCCTTTCCGGCATTTGAGTTCTTCGTCCTACAGTTTTATGATATTGTAGTCAATAACAGCAGCAAGGGTTTCATGAAAAAGCCTGTTACCGGCTGTCTACCGTCGCTTATAAGACCGCTGACCGCCGTCTGTTTAGCCTGCGAGCCGGCTCTCATGTTTGGATTTAGTTTTACGGTCCCTTCCAAGGGTAACTAACGTCTCACTTCTCCTTACAACATCACCCCTGAATCAAACAGCAAGGTCATGAGAATAAAGGAAATGATCACCAACTAAGGAAGCTCTTGATTGTTGAACAAATTCTCCTTGTCGTAATAGTAAGTAATGGGTTAAACCATCGGCAGCTGCTTATGGAAAAAAGGTTGTTGAACCCCTGAAGCTGTATATGACCTACTTGATTGATTTATTGGTTGAATGGTTATGATATATACGTAAACTTCTGCTTTAAATTGCAGATGGCAGAAACTTCGTTTTCTTTCGTTATGAAGGGAGCTGGGTACAGTAAAAAAGCTGTGCAGTCAGGGTAAGTCAGAACTCTACTTGCTTTTTTTGTTGTTCCTTTTGTTAATTATAAGCATTTTAGACGTACTGATGGACATAAATTTACAATTGGGAAAACAAAAGGTCGGTTTCTCGTTATAGCGAAAGCCCATGCTATACATTTTTTGAATAACCCTTTGGCACCTGAGAGTGATCATCATCTAATTTCTCCTTACCTTATCACTGCTAAATCACACATCAAGGTCTCGAGAATATAGGAAATAATCACCAACTAAAGAAGGTCTTGATTGTTAAACAGATTCTCCTTGTCAGCACCTTTGGAAATTTATAGAGAACAGTATGGAGAATATGTATACTGATGTTAGGGTGTAAAGGGTTAGGTAACATTGGTGACATTGTTCCCTATGTAGGGATGCCCCAGCTAAACTTGATTGTCAGATGGTAACCAAAGTGACAGGACCAGGTGAGTCCTAACTGTTGTTTTTTTCACCAACAGCCCATTGCTCTCTTTCAATTTAAGGGGTAATTTAGCGTTATCAGCTGAGTTGATAACGGAAATTGGCCACCGTAAAGAGTTTCAAAACTGACGTTTCGAACGTTAGCCTTTCGTCACAGCGAGTGGAGGAATTGTGGATTGTGTGTGTGTTTATACGCTATTGGTGGGAATATGGTGACGAGAAAACAAGAATAAATTAGTGAATAAATCAGTGAAATAATCAGCGATCATTGATCAATTTAAAGGGGTTAGGTTATACAGCTAGAGAACACATTTCTGTCTTTCATTTACCAAAATAATAACAAATAAGGACAAATTTTAAGGCAAAAAAGAGATACGCATACAAATCACGATGAAATTAGAAAGGTCACGGCTTTGTATTTCAAGTTTGCCTCAATTAATGGAGTCAGATCAGTTTTCTTGTTTTTGTTAATTCACGTACAAATGATTAGCTTTTGTTTTCTCTGCACCAGTTACTCTGCGATTTTCAACTAATATTAAGATACTTAAAGCAATTTTTGTCCACTTTGTCAGTGCTTAGGTTCCCTTAAATTGCATGACTCAAGGCAAGAAATAATTTACCGGCTGGCGCAGGTCAAGTTTTCTGGACCACCCCTTTTTTTGACTTGAACTTAACCCACATTTGGCTTGACAAATATATCCATTATGTCACATTTCAATAAATTCCACACTTTAAGTATATTTACCATAGTTTTTATCGTTTATGCAGCCCCGAACTTAAAGCAGTGGAGTGATAGAGCCGTACTTGAAACCTGAACTTAGCGTAGAATTAAACTTGTCTTCGCATGCACAAACAACCAGTCAAAACATCTGATCAACGAAGAAGTTGACTGTACAAAACCTTTATTTGAACGGACATTGTCCTCGAATGGCCATTGTTTCGAGCACTGTGACCATTTAATCATTTACAATACCTAAAGCTTTGGGCATGTCCATAGTGCAGTGTGTTATATGCTGTAACATTCCTTTTTTAACTCATCAGAGGCAGCTTATGTTGCCACTCCTATCTGCATGGTACAGGCTGCTATGGTGATCCTGGAAGAGACTTTACCAAACAGGTATCTTAAAATAATGTTTTATATAGGTATTTTGACTAAAAAACATTAGGATTTATCTTGAGGACAGCCGCTTCAACTAGTTTACAATGTGATCATTTCTTTTTCAGTGGAGGTGTTCTTACTCCAGCTGCAGCTTTCACGGGGACATCATTGATTGATCGGCTCAATGAAAATGGTGTTGTGTTCTCAGTGCTTAGTTGCAAAGAAAGTGGAACATACTAGCAGTTGCTCTCAGGACAACAGAATGAAAGGGAATGGATAGGAACATGAACTATTTTAAAGTCCTTTGGTTCCCTTGAGGATAATTAATATCTTTTTTGTTAGAAATTTTTTCTCAATATGGGTAGTTAATAAGAGAAAAATGGTTTTCTCATATCGGGGGCAAAACGTGAACGTGTATTGAAGATGCTGAACTAATTAATAACTAGACACCTTCATATATCACTTGTTACCAATTTATTACATTCATTTTAAAATCGCAAAATCCAGGCGTTTAAATACAGGATTTCCAAGTCTGTTTTGGTGTTTAACTGATCTAATACTAAGCTTGTTTGTGAAAAGTTGCAATAGTTGTCTTCATGTATCACTTGTCACCAATTTATTACTTCCATTTTAAAATCGCAAAGTCCAGGCGCTCAAATGCATGATTTTCAAGTCTGTTTTGGTGTTGTACTGATCTAGTACTAAGCTGGTTTGTGAGAAAGTTGTAGGAGTTGTCTTTCATTTTCCTGCAATTTGATTGGTCACTGTAAGCAAGCCTTGAGATCTGATTAGTTGTTGTTGTGGGTTTTTTTTTCTTGTAAAGCTTTCTCAATGGCTGGGAAAAAGATGCGATTTAGAGCGAAAGATGAAGCGATTCGCGAATAAAACGCACTAATGAGAGCCCATCAGATTGCAAGGATCACCAGTGGTTTCAAAGTGGATAATGAATAACACCTTCATGTATCCTTACATCCTTAGCGTAAATGTCAATCAGGTTCATTGTTATATCAGGTTTTAGTATTGAGTTATCAGCGCTCCATCACAAGTGCAGACAAAGAAATGAAAATCTACCTCCAGTCTAATTTCTACGACTCTGCCCTTCTTAGGCAAAGCTCTGTACCTGACAAACTCTTTCTTCCCTCATTTTATTTTCGAATTCTTGTCATTCCAAGTCCGAAAATCGTCCCAGTTTCCACCAATGATATTTATCCAATTATTTACAATCCACTTATGGCCCCTTATGACGTCGCATCCTCCGTGGTATGACCTGAGGTCGAGGCTTGAAATCCAGCCGGATGTTTTATTAATCACGTGATTATACCACATGATCGCAGAACCTCGTTTTGGTGTCACCCTTAGGTTAGCTTTTGAGCAGTACGCGCTCAGATTGGAAAGGTAGTTTGATTTCCTCATCCATGTCTGTTCGAAGAATAAGGGAAATGGACAATTAAAAAAGCCATGTTCTTCCTGGCCAACAAAACAGGGAGTTCTCTGCCGCAGTTTTTGCCGTCTGTTAAGAGTATCAACGATCCCAAGCATTTAGATTGACAATTTCACCAAATTTGTTGACTTGACCATAACAATGGAAGTAAATCAATCTTTTCCTACAGAAAGAATTCAAGCTTAAAATTGATAAGATAGATTTACAAGTAAGAGATTATTGTACTCGTTTTCGAGAGAATGACGACTTCCCCTTTTGGAGATCCGGCCGCAACGAAAAAGTTACATTTTGCGCTCATAATTTACGATGAAAAGCTAAGGAAGAATTAACTATTTTTTCAGTCAATCACATATTAGGTTATCATGCGAACCTGTTGGTTGAATGTGTTACTATCGGCGATTGGAAAAGCGGTTTGCCCTCCTTCCGCCACATCGTTGAGAAAGTAGAGAATTGTTATGAACCTGGTCAAGGAATAAACGGATCGTTAATGAAAGGCATTATTGCTGTTTCCTACACGTCAAGGTTATGATTATCCTTGTGAAAGAGCTATTGAGAAAGTGAGGAAAGCGGGGGAATAAGGTAATGCTAGACTTACGGTTAAGAAAAACGTCTGAGAGCTTGTGAAAGATAAAAGGCAAGAAACGGCTGGAGATCAAAACAGAATCACCACTGACCGACTGACCTGCAGATACGACATTTATCCAATGATCTTCGATGACAACACGTAGCCTCGGCATGTAGTGGGTGAGAGTCATAATGGCAGTGATAATGACCTCCCGGGCCATATCGTACAGCCTGCAATAAAGATCAATGAATTTCTATGTTTTAAATTTTGTCTTGCACTTAACACCAGGCTCTCCTTCCCGCTGGTCCTAAGGGCGTACAGCTGAAGTTAAAATTTCATTATCATCATCATTACTCATCTTGGACTTTCGGTTTGACACACTCATCGCTCTAAAACATAAAAATTCTTATAGCAAAATCGTTCCTACCACAGGAGTTTCACTGCCTTTTATTATTTCAACTGGAAGACCCGTGAGAGCTGCCTTTCTGAAAAAGAGAAGATTAAAAATATCAAGCTGAAAGTTACTTCTTGATATCGTTAGGATCATTTCATCAACCGGTATTGAACTGGTGTTGATCTGATGTTTCTGTGCCTACTTCTTATTAAGTGTTGTCGAGATTTGGTCATCTTCAGCGAACTCAATGTATGTTTGGTTACTATGGCGACCTTTGACCTTCGGTTCCAGATTTCCAACTTGCTTCACATATTTCATGATGTCGGCTGGTAAAAATTCACTTCGATGAATCCTTCCTAAGAGAAATTAACGAATGTTAAAACATGTCGCGTATTGCAGTTTGTTTATCTGGAGTGTAAAGGGCATGCAGATGAATAATTAGGACTTTAAAGCTTTGCGATTAGAATAAGCATCATTTAAAATGATCGAGAAAATTTCAGATTAAAAAAGGCAGTAAGAGTGACTTTCCATCCTGGGTTGGGGAGAGCTTTATATTTTGTGTAAAATTAATATCTTGCTCGAGCCATCTACACAATCTAACCTCTATAGAACTGTACAAGACAAATTTATTAGTAAACCATGCTCAGTAAATCGTCCATGATGATAAAAACTTCAACCGTTTCGTTTGAGAAAATTGCTCATGAAATACCCTTTTTACACTAAGTGAAGGTCATTGTTCAATCAAACCTCATTCTTAGGATCTGTCTTCCTCTCTCTCTCCTTTGCCTCGCTTTTATTTGAGGTGAGACGACAAGGGAACCAATGGAAAGAGAGAACCTGAGAAAGAGGGTTTGTTCAGCCAGGCTTCATTTGAATCTTTTGACTCACCAGGGTTAACCTTGCTAATATTCAACGTCGTAAGCCTGCGAAAGTGACCCACGGTAAGTGACCAGTTAGTATTTTTTTTAACTTAGTTGGAAAACAACACAATGTGAAATGAAAATAGAAAATATGTCATTTTTACATTTTCTTTACATCCTTTGTTGTGAAATGTAGATCCCAAAAGTAACGCATACCGGCAATGACCTTCAATAGAAAAAAATCACGGACTAACTTCAAATGCAAAGTAACTAAAACCACAAGGCAAGATGAAGCAATGAAAGCCATTTCTGCCTTAATTACTTGTATTGAAGTATTTTCAAGTTAATCCACAGCCACGATTATATCAACGTTCCAAATTGATTTTTTTACCTCGTCGCTATTTATTAAGTCATCTCGGTTGAGATCCCAGTGGTCGAAAGAAGTCTGGGTAAGAAGGCTATCCATTGAGTTGTGAAACACATCACTGTTCTCCTGTCTCCCATGCTCGGCCATTGCAAGAACTCTGTTGATTTCGGCTTCACTCAAGAAAGCAGGGATTTCTAAACACGTCAAATATATCGTATCTTACTGATGAAAGGCCTGTCTGAAACGTATTTCTACGCAAAGCTCGTAATTTAACGAATCTTAAAGAATTCATCTAGAATCAAAACGGCAAAAAATATTTCACAACGTCTCCAAGTGTCGTAAATTTGTCCTCAACTCGAACTCTAATAATATGTGGTGCACTTACCGAATATAGGGGGCCTTACACTCAGTGTTTTTACTGTAAAAGGTGGCTGTTCTTTAATAAGCCCGATTTGTCGAACAAAACCAACCTGATATAAAATAGATCAAGTTCACAAACTTTAGTATAATTAGATTTAAATCGTACGGGTATTTCCACCCTGGAATATAAATTTCACTGCTATTTATTCGTTGCTCAATTTTATACCTCAACAGGATCCAGACGAGGTAACTTCGTTCTTCGAACAACGCATGGACCGTGTACATCGTCAAGATGATTTACTCTAGCTGAGTTTGAGGCTGCCAGAAAAATAACTATCGTCTGTAATACAATCGCCTTACGACGAGAATGCATTGTGTATCATTTTCGAAAAGGCATTATTAAATCGCTATACTGAAAAAGCGGCGATAAAATTTGAAATTCCATAGTTTAAAACGCCAGTAAAAGAATGGGCATCTGAAACACGTGCATGCTCCTCGCAGCGTGTAATTTTAACAGGTACCGGCAATAAGTAGATAGCCACATTTTGAGAGAGTGGTAAGATTATTTCTTCCTATTGTTTTCCATTTCAAACTTTCAATTTCTTTTAACTGGTTGAATTGTATGATCTGAAAAAACTTAAAGACTTATTCAATTTTTCTAAAATGTTTTAATGCGAAACCTGAGTTTAGTTATTTTGTGATAGATATACTTTAATAAAGAATGTTTTCTGTTGTACCTGCCATGTGACCAAATGCCACTGAATTGTGTGATGTAAATAACTTTTATTCCTTTTCAATCGCTGTAACTTAATTTCCTTGTTTGTTTTTCATGACTTTAATATTTTTACTTTTAAACTGAGACATTTTAGGTCCGGCTCGAGGTGTAAACCTCAAAATAAACGAAGGCACAATTCTCTTTATTTTCAGCCATGACTGTCACCTGGGAAACCATAGGCAGTTCTGAAGGACAAAAACACAACAGAAGACTTAAGGCTTTTCCCTTTTAATAGATTAAACTCCACTTTATACATGTTTTACTCTCGAAGTTTATATTTCCGTTAACAACTATGGATTGCCATATTTGAAGGAAACATACATTATATTAAAAAAGGATTTCGGGAAAGAAACTCCGAATCCAAGCTCGAGTGTTGCTCTTCATCTTAACGAAGAAAAAGTAGAATTCGGCTCACAAATCAGTTAACACGCCATAAGAATCATCGCAGTTTTATTTGAGAGTAATTTGAAAATATTTGAAGAGATAGATTTAGCTTTTAACCGACTGGTGGCTCAACTTCTTCAATGATAACTCTGTTGGCCTGGTTAGAGCCTGTGTAAGTATCCCCATTGTTGTTAAGAGGCACACCACAGTTGCCAACGCTGAATCTAACACGAACTTTACCAGCAGCAATTCCGCCACAATAGCCCTCTATGCTGGTGGGTCTGTGAACGTTCATATTGGCGCTTTGGTACAAGGAGTCATCAATGGGAGCGGGAACTTTGCACTCTGCTCCATTGAAAGTGAAGAACCATCTCTTACAACACGCTGTGCAGCCAGTGATACGAATATTGCCCATGTCAACCACACGAAGGTATGAATCACCCCTGAGCTTGACAAAGTCACACTCCTGGAAACGTTGATCAAGGAGGTTATTCCGCATATAGACTATTTTGATAAAAACGGTCTATGACAGAATCTACTGTAAATTACGTTATTCTCAGTTCGAGAGTCAAGCCCAATTTACTCTTCTCAGGTATAGCTGTGTGGTCAAACTTCTAGAATTTCGAGACAGAAGGAAATCTGTCAAAAATATTCTAAGATTAATCGTTTTTTGTTCGTTTGTTTTTATGAACGATGATGAAAATGATGCAGCATCACTAATCACAGACGTAATCATCTCAAAGCTGGCACAACCTTCGCGAGGAACCGCACTGTACTGCGTGAGGAATTTATTCCGTATTACAAAACGTAAACTGGTCGCGTCTCATTGTTAAAGGAAATGATATATTTTCATCATAATACAGTAACTGATTTTCTTACATGCACTTTTCCATTGTCTCTGCCATCCTTTGTATTGTCGTGTGCCCACGCGCATTGTTTCCACCGTCGAGAATTTCCAGCACCACTCTGACCACAGCCGCAGTAAGCAGATGTCCCTGGTGTTCCTGGATTCCCAGGGATACCAGGCGTTCCTGGTGTTCCCGGTTGGCCAGGTGGACCTTGACAGCACTGGTGGGGAAGAAACAATAGATGAAGCTGCATTGGTGTGGAGAGTGATGGGATTGGGCCGTGTCTTTGATAACAGGAAGGCGATAATAAGCGAGTCATGCTTCTTAGATGAAAATAAATTCTCAATGGAAGACAGCATCAAGAAAATTGATATAATAAAACACGAGCATTAGAGCATTAGATAGACATGTAGTTTACGGTTCAGCAAACTGCAAAACTTCAACTACTTCTTCTCTGCTTTCAGCTTTTGTACACCAACTGAAAATACACAAACCGTGGGTAAACAACTTTCTTCCCATTTTATTATAAGGTTGATTTAACGATACGGGTAAAGTGATAAAGCTCATAACTTATTATTGCCGTAGTAATTCAAGGTTTGCAAGGGACGAAGGAAAATTAACGGAGAGGAGCGCAAAAGTTATTTATGAATTTTTAAATATGCGAGGATTGTGGAATGTTTAGTAGGAGGTAGAATTAACAAGTTCCTCTAATGCACCACTACCCGCAATTTTTATACTGAATCCTTGAAAAAATGGCTAAACAAGTAATCGTAAGAAATGCTGAGATCAGTTCAAACTTACCGATGATTTTCTATTCGCGAAAGCAAGTATAACGAAGCTCCACTGCAGCAGGGCGATGGACACAATATTTAGCAGATGCATCATGGACTACTACACAACACAAGCGTTGGTCACTTGGCTCTCAAACAAAGAAACTGGATCTGTTGGAAGAAATTCAAATAAGTCGTTAGTGTTCAATTTTCTTCTTTCGCTGTTGACACTTTCAAACCAAAGAAGGCCGAAGAACTAGGGAAAATACCTCAACATCAGCCAAATCTGCTTTTTAACTTAAATTAACCTTCTTATATACATTGTGACATCTGTCTGCTACGTGATTGGAGATTAACGTTTAGAAAAAAAGATTAGATACGACATATCCGTAATTTCACCGATATTAGCAATTAGCTATGTAAATCCTGCACGATTGCGCACCTCACGCTTTTCACATGAATGAATTAGACTTCCGGTTTGTCTTGAGGATGAGAAAGATCTTGAGGCGGAAAGTACTAAGTCTAATTCGATTTTTAACAATAAACACGTCCAATGAAGATTTCGTATTTACTCTAAAACCAAACCACTTTTCGAAATGTACCCGAATTTTCTTTGTCACGGTTTGCTAAACTTAACAAAATAAGAATTAAGAACTCTAGAAAAAGATAACTCGCTTAAATGGCCTCGTTGTGACAAAGTAAGCAATCAGACAACAAGCGATGCACTGTGGAAGTAATGTGAGATGTTTTTCATGGGAATTTGACTGTATTTTTATTTCCTAAGAGCGGTTGTAAATATTCCCATACAAACTCATGTAGTTTCGCCATGACATTTATTACGCAAGATGATCATCTCACAGCTGGAGCTTGGGCCGCCTGTGTACTACTTTGCTTACGTACTCTTTGTTTATGATTTCCTCGTGAATTCCCCGCTGTGATGAACCCATAAGAGCTTTGCACTATTTTGCCTAAAGTTTCTGCCAGGCGCGACTGAATGTTTTACCTACGTATGTGCTTATGCCAAGCACATGCACGGTCATGGCCTTATGGTTATCATTTCTAAGCAAATCGATCAATCTATTAAATTCATAATTCAAGCGGGCGGTGTTGTCTCGAAGCGTAAGCACAATGAGACAAGCAAGTTTGAACGACTCTTAAACTTCGATTGCTCTTCACCGTTAACCAATCAAACTACTAGTTTTTAAGTGAGTCTCCATACACGAGAAGCCACCCAGGAAGTTATTCTAATTGAAATTTGCCTTGTATTGTTAGCTTACATAAGGCCAATTTTTAGAGGAAAAAGCGACGCGTTGTTTTCGCGACTGACCATTTGCTTACCTTTGTGGTGGTTTTATCTCTCATCTGTATGGGGTGTAATTACCGTCAAAAACAAAAGTTTAATTATGATATCCACAATTTCAGTTATGACTGAGATATGCTATTGTGCTACTCCAATGTGACGTCTCAATATGCTATTTGGTCCTCGTGTTATGACATTATGCTATCACATTTGACTATTTTGCTTTTGCAATGTGCTGATTTATCACTGTACCTTGGCGTTCGGCTATTATACTTTGCTATTTTGCCATTGCATTTTAGTATTCTTCCATTTCGACATTAGGAAGAGCAGTTTTGCTGTTGTGATTTGTCATTTTTATAGCGTGCGTTTCATTATGGTGTATTGACAAGGTAACGTACGGTTCGGCATAACACTCAGAAACGAGTTTCGGACAAGATAAATTATTTCCCGCCAAAATTATAATTATGTTAATTTCTTTCCTCTCTGTCGCCCTGTCTTGGTTGGAAACACGGTGGCTCTTCGTGAAAGTGCGGTGAATTTATAATTATTAGAAGAGGCGACCTGTCTAATTAGGGAACACACATCCCAGGGTCCCGAAAATGGTCCTCCAAAGTACGGTGCAGTAGCCAGTGCAGTGAACGGACGGGAAACCGACGGACGTGTACTGGAAAATTTTCGAAATTTATTTCAGCCGCACACGTGATTACAAATCAATATGGCTGCAGTCTCTGGTCGTCCTCCTGAACTGACTAAATGAGTTTGGTCAACGGAGCTAGTCAGCAGATGACTTTTTCATCGCCGGAATATCGTGATCGACCTCGCTTAACAAGAAAGGCTGCCTTCTCTTCGCTACGTAAGTAACCATTTCTTGTTTGACACATCGGTGTTTTCAGAGTCAAGATATAAATTATTAACTTTTACTATTTTTATCATCCAATCACATGTCGGAGCCATTCCTGTAGTTAGTCGCTTGTGCCGGAGAGTACTGTGAACACATTACTATACTAAAATGGTTTGTTCGCCAAAATTGGTGTTTATTGCCGTACGTGGTGGGTAATTTTACGACATGTTTTAAACAAGAGTTTCATTCAAATACATATATCTAACCCAAGGTATCTTTCTGGACTGGAATGTCAGAAATGGTATGGTATTGTGTGTTAACTAACTTTGTTGTTGTTGTTCAATAGTTTGTCTGAGTATGTCAGGATAGCTGAGTGAGGCCGATAAGTTAGAATGTTTTGCCTATTTTTTATCTTAAACAAGGTCATAACATGAAGCAATTTTGTCTTCATTCTTTAACTCCCGAGATCTGTTTGCTAATTCTCCCCTCTAGTTTCTAGATGTTTCCTTGTACATTTGTTATAGGAATTTGTTGTTAGATCAAGATAACGACTTACTCTTTTGTTGGATATTGTATAAATATTTTAGGGAGAAGTTACATGTAAATCACATCTGGGAGTTTAAGGGTTAAACAGCAGGATGTGATGCACTGCTACCTAAATTTCACTGAAGTTCGAAATATCCAGGACTTTAGCATTCCCCACAAATTTGTTCAAACTGCTGCTTACTAATTCTGCATAGCAGTTGCAATATGCAACGCTAATGCTTATTTCACAATTTTGACAAGTACTAGTTAATCTTTCATTTACTTAGACTGAAGGGAAAATGAAATTGTTCATTAACTTGAAAGGTGATTGATAAAGAAACCTTGAGACTTCACCTTACCTAGAATTTGATAGCAGAGAGTAAGAAGTACTGTTGAGCTCTTTGGAGTAAAAGGGTTCAGTGAACTTAACCTTAATCTACACATATTTTACAGAAGACCTTAAATTGAGTTGTGATGCAAATGTTGTCTTTCACACTGAATCCAGATTGTTTCTTAATTCCCACATTCAAAGATACATTTTTTTAAAGAGCTGTAACTTATGAACTTTGATGAATTTATTTCACTCAACAGTCACTTATACATGTAGTTAGTATGTTAGTAATGGAATCACAATTGTAAGCATTTTTATTTTGTACAGCTTCCTTTTTCAACAAAGACCAAGATGGGTCTTCCTTTAAGGCAGCTCTTCTGTCCGGTTCCCCAGGAGTGGGTAAAACCACATCAGCGACACTGGTTTGTGAAGAGCCTGGTTTTACGTACATTGAAATGAATGCCAGTGACACACGGAGCAAAAAGACTATGGAAGAACACATTTCTCAGTTACTGAACAATAAAACCATGGATGGCTTTCTGACAGGTTGTCAAATTTCTGTAAGATTTGGAATGACTGATATTACTAAAGATGCTTCATTCATTCTCCTGTCTTACTAAACTGATTTTCCACTCTAGTTAATTTATTATTATCAACTGAGTTGGTAACGTAAATTGACCACCGAAAAGAGTTTTAAAGCTGAGTAGAGCACTTCGTCTATACATTGCTGCCTACGCCTGGTTTATGAGTTAATATGAAATTAAATTATTAATGATTATCAATATATGCATTACTGGAACCTGGAAAAGCTCGCCTTTCAGTTGGTACTTGAAATCATTAAAATTTACCTGACTTTTCTTTGCCAATGATGATAAGAACTGCCAGGGTTATTTAGCACGTTAGCGAGATCTTTAAAATATTGTGCAAATTGCTGAGCTAAGGAAGGTTTTGTGGTAAATTCAGGACGGTATTAGACTATATCACATGATGAGAGACTTATACTTTTTAGAGTTGATTGAACGAAAATGCAATAGGCTTTGGTACTGAATAAATAATGAATTGCCTTTTTTACTTTTAAAGCATTGACAACAGATCAAATAAAATACGAAAGTTCAGCGATGTAAAATCAAAGAGCTTTTTACATCAATCTGTTTTTTTTTTTTGCTTCTTTGAGAATGAGAAGTTAAAAATGTAAGATGAGGCCCTGTCCAAACTTGGCGTATAAATAGTGAAACAACATAGCTACAAAATAGAATCACGGATCACGAAATAAACAATGAAACACGATTTTCAGTTTCGAGTTCGATGAGCTCATATTCAGCTTCTTCAATACTGCTGGTGTTACCAAGTGTACCGTTTTGTTACACACTTGTGGGGCAAATCACATTTTCACAGGAGTTAAGGTGAGGACAGAATAAGTTAATAGCGACCTAATGCAGTGAATGAGATAAACGGGTATTGACTAAAGATACAAATAGAAATAATTTGAGACATGAGACACTAGAATGAAAGAAATGTCGATCTTATTTACTCGTCTTAGACCACCGGACTTTATGATTTGAAGTTCTCACATATAGCCATGGATTTCTCGCTAATGAGCTATGACATACAGTGGATACATAAAGGATCATCCTGCATACTGCCTAGATCATCAATGTCGAAAGTTTCTTGTCTTAAAATACATAATGATAGAAAGGAAATTTCAAGCTCTTTCGTGACAGAGGAAAAAGTCATTTTTAACCAACGACCGAAAAAAAACCCTATCCGTCAGATCAGGTTAAACGACAGATTAAATATCAATGCTGACATGTAAATAAACATACCAGACCTTGAGGTGGATTATTTATCTTCCCATGAGGGATTTACGAAGCTGCGGCAATTTTGATTCCAGTATCTAGTGCGTCTCATGTCTGTAGGAACTATCATACAATTATTTATGGCCTCGCTTACTGCATCCAAACTCAGCTGACAATTCTGGAGCTCAAAGAGACAGAGAGCTAGGGCCTCAGATTTCTCCTCCAACTTAAAGACAACTGGTTCAGTAACAATTTATTCATAAAATTCCTGCAAGATACACTGAGGGTTTCTGCACACAAAGATGCATGGAGTCATAGATTTAAAAAATTTTGAATATCTTCCTCGGATATTTCTTTAAGAAGAGTACTTATGGTATTCGCTTTAATTCTTTATAGCGCGCGAAACGATTTAAACATGCTTTTCTCTAGATACAACGAGAAGTCAAGTATTTTTCTTGGAAAAGAACTTTATTGGAGTTAAATTTATAGCAAGTATTCTTCAGGTGAGGAAAGCTAATGAAGAAATATGTAGCATATTATTATCGAAAAACATGAAAATTGGAAAAAATATACATAAAAAATACATATTATTGATGTGATTTCTTTAGCTTTGTATCTCCCTCAGGTGATGAATATGTGCAACTTGTTATTACAAAGTATACGTAGATATCAACGCAACAACCAGCAAAAAAATTAGTGTTCGTTGAGAGCAGAGAAAGTTATCGCTTATAGCGAAATATCTTGATGTAACACTAAATTTTCTTTACACGTGAGAGAAAGCCAGTGAATGAAAACAAGTGAGGGATGGATACCCATTTCAACTTGTTCGGGACTCGACTACATACGAACAAACCCATCTTGATTTTGTGAATCAGCATCGTTTCCATATTAGGATACATGATAATCACGCGGCAGAAGCACGTGATGAGCATGTGACAAAGCTAGATAACGTGCTGTATATAATTATAGCTCTCGTCGATATCAAAACCAGCTATTATCTCTCGAAAACAAACGAAGTTTGAAACAAAACTCGAGGTTGAAAAAAATATACAAAATGCCTACGTTTCTTTTGATATCGTAACACTCGCGATATATAGTAATAATAACTGTAATATGATTGTCGGTGAGATACCAGTATTTTTTCAGTTTCCAAAACGTGACAATTTTTTTTTTCCACCTAAAGCTGAATTAATTCTTTTTAAAGGAAATAGTTCTTGTAATGAGAAATTGTTGTATTACAATTTCCGAAATTGAAGTGGTTTTCTAGCGAGCTGGTGCAGCGGATCTCTGTATTCGATGCTCCTAAATAAAAATTGTATTGGATTCAAATTTTCAATCAATATCTTTTGAACAAAAAGGGTTATACATTTCCACTACGTATCTACAAGGTGGTTCGTAGTATCATTTCTAACTGGTTATCTGTCAGAGTTCGGTTTTAGTAGATATACCTTTTCGCGTAATGGCGGACTAAATTGGCACAGTGTTTGAGTGTTTACATCGTGCGCCGGAAGATAAAACTGTGAGCTCAGTAAATGCTGATATTGGAGCAGAATCCTGTCCTGTAGGGCAAGACCACCTCAGCAGCTTCACGAAAATTTCCTTAATTTCCCAATCACTATTATAGTGCAGAAGATTCTCTTTTAATCAGCAATTCGTTCAGAAATAAACTTAAAGTTCTCTTTTGCTTTGCGATATCGAAATGTTTTTTTTTTAGTTTCATTTCGCTTTCAGTCTACTTCCTCCGCCAAATGCTCATTTGGCCTGACAGTGAATTCATTCGCTGGCCTACAAGATTAAGACCCGTCGATCTTTCACTCACCCGTCGAATTACAGCTCTATTGGTCAACTTTTCCTAACAAAAATTGTGAAGTTTCCAGGCCAACAAATCGCTTGCATCTTTAATAAGAAAATTTGGAACTTTTAAAAAACAAGCAAGCAAACAAACAAACGAATGAAGAAAACAAACGTAACACAACCCGCTGAACTTGACTGGAGCTGTTACGCAACCACAATAGCGTGACGGAAGAAACTTTGAGATTCTTATTCATCCTCTATGATTAAGTATACAACGTTTTCTTTAGGTTACTTTCATCTGAGTCTCCTCTTTTTTATTTTTAACGATCTAGCGCAGTGCAATCGATTCAATTTTATTTCTAGCTATGGCAGAGAGTAACCTCCTAATAAAGGGAGAAGAACTGGAGGTGAAAAATGAGTTTCCAGCTACAGGTAAGAAAAGCATCAAGGAAAGACTTCTTTATGGTAATTCTAAACTGTTTGCTGATTAAGTTTACCTTAATTCTGGTGTACAATTTTTTGGATCACTTCGACTTGAAGGTTTTAGGAATCCACTAAATACGCCAGTATTAGAACGCTAGTTGTAATTGCACATAGTTGTGATCACTTACAACGTTGAAATATCTTTTCGGTAATTTCAGCGACAGAGGAAAGCTGAGCTGGATGAAGACGATGACCTTTTAAGAGGTGAGAAAAGATTTTTTTAAAGAAGTCCCAGTGAAGTTTTTTTCGCATTTACATCAAAATTTGCGTAGGTGCTATGAATAAGTTTTTGAAACAGCAAAAGATTGTTTTTTTTTTTTTACTTGTTACCGGTAAAATAAAAAACAACGGAAAAAACAAGTTGTTGCTCGATCAGATCGAGCAAAATGCGTAGACATCATTAATTATTCATAAGCAATAAAGCGACAAATTTGAAGACGACTTAGCTTTGAAGAGCCCTAAATTAAAGAAGAATGGGCCAAAATTGGCCTACTAGGCTTTGTAAAACTTGGTTTTTCTGAGTTTTAGAAGTGCTTACTTGTAAATCAACACACAATGTTTTGGAGATTACCGATGTATCTACAGTTTGCACCTAAAATGAAGGATATTTGCGTAGTAAAAGTATTATAAAATAATTATAAATTTGGTCATTTTTAGTATGAAAGTCATATTCGGCAAGAGAGAGTTGTTGGTATCCGTAGACCCGTCAAAGTCGAGTTTTGAAAAATTTTGCAAACGGATAACTTTTTGAGGCCGCTAAAAGGAAAGTGTTTACGCTAACACATTTTTGTCCCTTATTGTTCAGTACATGTTTGGCAGAAATTTTACGCAATTTGAGAATTCTACATAGAAGAGGAGGCATTTTGTCTCGGCCGTATCGCCTGTTTTGGTCTTCTAAATATTTCAGGCCTCTTTAGACGGTTATGTCAACACCAGGCCCACGCTGTAAACCACCAGCCAACAAAATGTGGAACCGCTGACTTTCACAACAGGCAAAATGGCACTTCGCAGGAAAGTGATACTTTCCCAATCAAATTTCTCCAGTTAGCCTCTTCGAGTATGTTCTCAATAGAAAATTACATGCATGATAAAAACCAAGTGATAAAGAGAAAAAGACAAAATAAAATAATGCTTGAATAAATGGTAATAGACAATGGGCGGCCCTTTATATTAGCTAGACTTAATGTAATTGTTATTAGTTGATAGAGATCGTATTCGAGATATTTCTTTTTATTTCTTTTTTTTTATCCGTAGGTATTACATGAAGAGGCCGCTCACCACTAGCTTATTAACCCTTTACCTTCCAGAACTGATTAACGTGAAGCTGATCTAATACAAAATTCGCCTAACTTATTTGCCGGAATTGTGTAAAAGCTGAAGGTGAGAATTAACAATCGGATCTCAGGGGTTAAAGGTTTATTTGCTTTCAGACCCTTCAATTTCTGTTAATTCCCTCAGAAAATGCACTCAGACCTCTAACAAAATCATCCTCATCAATACGTTTAAAAACAGTAAAAACTGTCTTATCTTGACGAAGAATATAAGACAGTCTTGCTCACTAAGCTATCAACGTCACCACGTTTAATTGATACCTTTATTTTATTGTATTCAATGCATTACAACCCTTGTCTCTCGATGGCTGGCCGGATAATATTTGATCTAAAAAACATGGAACTTAGGTTAGACTTCTTGTGTAGAGTACTTCAATCTTTTCTTACGGCTTTTGTAGCGTTATTTTCTATATGCGTGTACAACAGTCTCAAATAATCAATCTTTATTGTACTCACTCTTGCTCGAAAAAAGAAAAAAAGATTAGTCTCTTAGACATGCTTACAATTAACACGTTCAAATGGAACAAAGATACTTTCGCTTTAAGGTCGAAAGAACGAAACTTCGCGTGTTTTGATAACGCGTTCTTGCCACCCAGTGGTTGTATAACATGCCCGAACGGGACATTCAGTTTTCCTGACTGGAGTGAATGTAAGCTATTTTTGAATTGTTCGGAAATAATTCATCAAGTCTATCCCAAACGGACGAATCTTTGGTGGAGTAACAATCAGCTGCCTACTAGAATGGAAAGGCCATCAAATTGTCCACATCAAATGTAAAGTGAAGACGCGTTGTTCACGCGGAGTAATTCGATTGGAAATACCTTAAGGGCTCTTTGTCACCCGAATGATTGGGAAGTGCTACAAGAAGTTACAGGTAAGATCGACGTAGTCAGACATCACATGCAGCGGCTTACACGAGGATCGCTTGGTTAATAGTTCTGCGCTCTAACTAAAAGGTGGCCATTCCAAACCAAAGCGTATTTGTTCCTACCAGAAGATCAGGGAACGCCGGACGATAGAGAGATTTTCTGAAGAATTTTTACCTACCTATCATCCCTACATCCTGAATTCATCGAATTGAAGAAAATTTGCAGATCGAGTGATAAGAAGAGTCACACGAGGGGGAAGATGTGATAACGATGGTCATTTGACTCTCTTTGACATCTCGTTTCAAACTCGTTTCTTTTGCAGGTTTATTTTTACATATTCTCATGACTTTCACCCTGTACAATTAAGGAAGTGGGCCTAACTACTCCCTGGTGACAATGCAACATTAACTTCCCTTATAATAAATCAAGAACTATGCGCTTGGGTAAAAAAAACCTGGGTGATGTAAGCAACTGGGAGCTCAAGCCCCTCATTAATGATCCTGCTGACTGAATTCCATCCGGTGTAAGCGTTGAAATGGCATAGCTATAACACTAACCGACGTTCAAGCTAACACGCACCAGGTCTTTGCCCATTTTAGTGCATTAGCCTTCTAAACTGGCCGAGCGATGGATGTAGAGATCGACACTCTATTACACAACGGCATCAATGAGAGCAGGTATGCCGCATACGATGTCACTGAGGGTGAAAAACCATCCCATGAAACAGTTTATAACCGCTGTGCGGATGGTGCCCATGAAAACTGAATAAAGGAATGTGTTTGGGGAAGGTTTGAACGAACATTTCTTTGAAAAAGATTTTAAAAAACGATAAAATTCATTTACCTAGCAGATACGATAACATTTCTTCTCTTCCTCTTCAAATTTTGACAATAGCGACCCTCTATCCCCTCCCTATTTTTCTGCTGTTTGAGTGAGCACCAACGATTTGTCTTCTTGGAATACATACCACAACTCGTCCAACATCCATGTCTAAACTGATGTGCTTACAAAAACACTGTTTCCATCTCTTTTAGGTCCCAGGTTCTGGCGGCCTTGGTGCTCCCACTTCCCCTTGAGCCCTGGTGCGCCATCCCGTCCCGGTAGTCCATCCCGTCCTAGTGCTCAGTCTCTTTTCGGTAATCCATCTCGACCTGCTGAGCGTGGTGGTCTTTACAGCATTTCTCCCATGAATCTTGCCATAAAGCCATTTTTGAAAGTCAGCCTTGCTTTACAAGTGCTCAAAATAGTGAGTTATTGTCAGGAGAACTAATATGCTCCTGGTTAATGTATATTAATATACGTTAGGAAAGTGTCAAGGAGGAGTGACAATTGCCCCACCACAACAGTACGCAGCAGAGACTTTGCGTCGATTTAATTATATTAAAGGCACGCCTTTTTCCTCAACAGTCCCACGGAAACTCGCTTAATAACTGATGTAGCGCACTTCATGATTTGCCGTCGCAGTATACTTGATTAAAGACGACTTTCGCCTGCTTGTTGTAAACAAAAGTACGATTTTAGCTCGTTCATTAGCCAAATACTGAAACATATTTGAGCCATGGCTAATTAGAGAGAACATTATTTCGTTTAAGGGACATATTTTGTCCAGAATATGTCACATTTATTCAATCCACGGTGCGTCATGTAAGGAATAAATATGAGCTATTGTGCTAATCTATTCTCAAAGATACTTTTTGCATCGTATGTTGTAATCGTATAAAAGGCTGATGGACCAAACATAAGTTTATTCGCAGATTTATTGTAATATTTTGTGGTGACTTCCACCCTGTTCAGTCGAGTCAGCGTTTGTATCTAACTAATCCACGGTTACAATATAACATAAGTTGCGCTTGTAATGAATCGAGAACTATATGCTTGGGTGGAAAGAGCACTGCCTATTAAAGTAACATGGGGCTCAATCTTCTAAATTATGATTCTACTGACTGAATTCCAGCCGGTGTGGACATTGAAAATACCAAAACTTTGGCACTAACTGACGTACAAACCAACGCGCACTAAGCCTTTGGCGATTCCTGCGCAGTAGACTTCTTACTCAACTCATTTTCCCCTGTAGTAGGTTCTGTAACAAACAGTCTCATTTCTAGTTTAATTAGTAGACAGACAATTTTAAACACTTGTTTACGGAGTAGAAGGCCTCAAAGAGGGATTTTTAACAATGTTTTTGGATAAAAGAACGCGTGGGGCGGCTCGAACTGTTAGATAAAATTTGTTTGTGTGTACCACGCAGGTATGGTGCTTTTAGCGCGCGCTGATCGGCTATTTCAGAGATGCCTAATCAAGAGTTTGTTTTCCTATAATTTTTCTTACACCGACAGAAATAGACTAATGTTTTTGTTCTTGTGAGGTATATTCAAAAAATAACTCGTCACTCTAGTGTCAGTGAAAGTGGTCTATATTTACCAAGCCGTAAGGTATCCACCTCTACCCACTTTGTAATATTTGACTATATTTGCCGAACCTTCTTGACCAAGGTTTTGAAAGTAGGAATTATGAGGTACTCAGAAAATAAGAAATTCGATGAGAGAGTAAACCTAAAGCAAGGAACTTAAGTATTTTAAGAGTATCAGGGACAACTTGAAACTATGGCAAAATCCGATATGGCATCATTTGCTTCCTAATTTTTTTTAATTTAGCTTGCAGTCGTAATTATACACAGTGAGGCAGTCTCTCTCACTCCATCCAATAATGTATTTTATTCTGAAAACGAGGAAATTTATCAGAGGACTTTCACTTTGAAGGTTTTACTTGCAAACATCAGCAATGTGTTATGGCAACTGAGTAAACTTGAGTGGATATGTGATAGCGAAGTCACATAGAATACTCTCAGCTCGTTTTATGTTCAATATTCTGTCTGATAAATCATTTTGCCATGGCTTTATTGAGAGAAATGTTATTCTATGAACGGAAGGGATACATTTCCTCCCGAATCGATTACGTCACATTTATTCAATCAATTTACGCCTACATGAGGACGCCACATACGTATAATACCGCGGATTGTCATGCAATGTAGGAAAATTAGTAATAATGTCTACATCTTCTCAAAGAGAAAATTTTTCCCAATGTACAGCTATGTTTTAATCAAATGATAAAAAGAACACATGAACCAAAAGTAAGTTTCTTCGCAGGTTTATTTCCACATTTTGTGATGAGTTCCACCCAATACAGTTAAGACACCCTTAATACAGTGAGCCTAACTAGCTGGCGGTTACAATTCAACATTCGACTGCACTGCTGCCTATTTAAGCAACAGGGGGCTCAATTTCCTCAATAATGAGCCTGGTTACTGAAATCCAGCCGGTTAAGGCGTCGTAATCGGCGTGAAAATCATGGCACCGACCGACGTGCAAGCCAACACGCACTAGGCCTTTGGCGATTCCTGTGCAGTAGCCTTCTATGTTGGCGGGGCGGACGATATTCAGGTCGATACCCTGGTAGACAATAGCATCAATAGCAAGGTTAAAAACCATCTCATGCAACAGTTTGTGCAACCCATGATGCGAAGGTTGCCCATGTGAACAACACGGAGGTATGTGTTTGAGGCAGCCTTGGTGAATGGGCATTCCTTAAAAGAAAATATTAAAAACATTTTATTAGATGCATTGATGCAGTAAATATCTCTTTTTTCGTCTTCCTATTCAACTTGACAATGGTGACAGCTATATATTCCCCTCCACCTTTCTCTACTGTTAGAGCGAGCACCAACCATTTGCCTTCTCGGAATACATACCAAAACTTTTCCATTATCAATACCCTTATTGATGTGGTTCCAAAAACACTGTTTCCATCTCCTTTGGATCCCAGGCTCTCCTTCGATTCCCGCTGGCCCTGGTGGTCCCACTTCCCCCTTTGGTCCAGGTGCACCATCCCGTCCCGGTAGTCCATCTCGTCCTGGTGCTCCATCTCGTCCCGGTAATCCATCTCGACCTGCTGGGCCTGCTATTACTGGGCAGCCCTTCCACCTCATCTCCTGCAATTGTAAAACATCAAATTACGTTAAGAGTCACTCCTTGGATGACTTGTGATCGACGATCACTTCTCCAGGAGACGAATAACTCTGTAACTTTGTAATTGCGGTGTATCAAGTTTGTATGGTTGACCTGTTCATAACACCTGAAAAAATAAGTCCTCGCAAGTGAACTCCCAACAAAAGGAGAAATTTTGATACAGTTTTGACAGAATTGCTTGCCACATCCTGATCCGAACAGCCCGTTCTTATCACGACTCGATTGTCGAAGTTAAATTTGTGCCTGACTCAAAAACGTTTCTACGAAAATGAATACTTTACATGGCTTTAAGTAACTTACACTATCCTCTAGTTCATCTATGCTGATCACAACCTGAAAAAACAGGAGGTACAACAGCACAAACATCTGCAGAAGATTTTTCCGATCCATCCTTCTCGAAGAAGATAGTTCAAAATAACTTGCGTCTCAATATCATTTGTTTTAGTATACTTCTTTTCATTAACAATTAAATGATATTTTCGAAATAACTTTTTAATTAGTTCAACTTTAGATAAACATACCTGCTTTTTTTTTTCGCTAAAGTATGTCCAAAATGGATTGTCGGACGGATCGCGACATTGCATTTGTTCGTAAGCACCTCCCCTTTCAAAAAAGAAGAGGTGTTGGCCATGTTGTAGATCATGCAATTAAATATTTACTATTAGTTAATGACTTAAGGTGGATAAAATATATCCACGAAGCGTGATTCAATATAGATCGCTCGTCTTTGCACAAGCCGCATCACTATGCAATAAATATTTGTCGGTTGTTTAATTGATTACCATTTTAATTATTATTATCATTATCATTATCGTTATATGCTAATTAATCTTAAACGATTGAAAAGAGTGCAACGAGTTTTTGATGCGTGCTTTTGTGGCAACAGACCCATTCTAGACCTGCCAGTCAACTCATTTTCTCCTGTAGTTCGTTTTGTAATAGACAGCCTCTACACATGTACGTACTGATCTTTTCTAATTGTAATAACTTATTAACTAAGTTGAAGGCCTCATAGAGGGATTGTTTAACAATGTCTTTTTCGATGAAAGGATGCCTGACGCAGCAAGCCCCATAAAATAGAATCTGTTTTTCACAAAACAGGTACGATTCTTTTCGAGAGTGCAAAGTGGCTGCCTCGGAGATGGTCGCGAGCAGCACAAGCAGCTGATTACTTTCACTCTTGACAAACAGATCTGCTTAATTATTTTTTTCTTTTTCGCCGAAAAATAGAAAAAGTTGGATTGTAAGACAGACCGAGATTCCGAATTTGTTTATAGCTAAAAATAAGTGAAAAGTGTTTGTTGACAATGCAATTTTGTTTTGTCGATAGTTTAAACAGTTTATTTGCCGCGCATCACGAAGTGAATTGAAAAGTTAAAATTAATGGTTAAAGTGGATATAATAATATCCGCGAAGCGTGATTCAATATAGATCGCCGGTCTTTGCACATGCGGAATCACCACGCAAATAAATATTTGTCGGTAGTTTAATTGATTATTATTATTATTATTATTATTATTATTATTATTATTATGGTCATATGCTAATTAATATCAAACGATTGATAGGAGTGCAACGAGGTTTTGATGAGTGCTTTTGTGGCAACAGACCCTTTCTAGACCTGTTACTCAACTCAGTTTAAATATTATGTATTCAAAATATGAGAGAGCGAAAAGAAGAGGGCACCTCGAGGAAAGAAATATACAATCTAGAGTGTTAATCGCGGATGAAAGAACTCTCTGCCTATTGTTAAACAAAACCAGTTCTGGCCGAGATCAATTCAGGAGTGTTTGTGAAATGACTGCAAGGGCTAATAACAAACTATGGTTGAAAGAATAATTAAAGTTTCATGAGCTTGTGGCGCGTAACATTTCGGAGGCTGTCAAGAGAAATTACCCCCTCGAAGATTTGAGTCTTAGTGCCTCTGGTCTCGCGTTCGGATGCTTTGCCAATGAGCCACAAAGAACTCGATCACCAATTAGATCATACACTAGTCAGATCCTGCATACCATAACTATGGGCATTGAACAAAGGGTGGTGACAGAGGTACACAAAAAGCCCATGAGATCTGAAACGAACTACACTTTGACCGCCTCGGAATTTTTCTCACTTTCCCATTTGATTGGCTGAGAAGGTGGCGAGATGTTTCTAAGCCAATGACAAGGAATAGAAGCAAAGACACAACTGCAATGGACTTTGCAGCAAGAGATTATTTTGCAGTACTTCTAGCAAGAAGAACAGGGCTTAACATTAATATCGGATATATCCTTGTCTCTGACTCAACTTTTCTACGCCGAGACAAAAGAAAAAAGAGAGCGAACTATCTGCCGATAGAGCACGCAGTTTTATCATAGATGTATGTAATAGACTTTCTGCAAGCGTACATTCCCTACAACCCCCATATTAACACAAATTGTGGTAGCTTGCTTTAGTTTGAAGTCAGTTTCCGACTTTTTGTTGACGAGTTATCAGGTGTCGTCAAAAATTTGTTTGGCTCAGTTTCATGACGCTCTTAGGTGGCTTGGTGTCTGGTTTCGCCTCGGTAAAAGATGCTGATCGTTAGTATAACATTTTTATTTTGTGTCTGTGAGAGGTAATTGGTATATTTTGTGTGCTTTGAGGTTTTAAAAACTGTATGCTAAAATCTTACTCTCTGTTAATGGCGGCTCAAAAATATCTTTTCGAAATGCAGAATGAATATGTTTCATAGATAAGCTTTTCTTATCTGTGGTATTTCTGTCAATCTGACCATTCCTTTTGATGGATTGTTTCCATTCCCCTGGGCTGGTGTTGACGATTTGTGTAAGATGAAAAGAGTGAAGTGAACAGGAGATAGGGACTACAGATTTTTGATCGATCCATCCTTCCTAAGACCTCTTTACTAATTTCTTTTGAATAAGTTTCATCTATCATGCTATTATGCTAGCAAACATTTTTTGTTAGTACCTCCCTTTAAACAAACACATCCGCTTAAATCTTTTTTTTTCTGCTGGCAACTGCTCGATGTTTTTTTGGTCAGATAGATCAAGATATTCAGTTTTTTGGTGATTCAAAACCAATTTTGAGTGTTTTCATTAAATCGGATGTTGCGTACCTCATTTTAAAATAGAGAAATGTTTTTGGTCTTCTTGCGAGCTTGAGACATACTTTGAGTTATCATGTAAGGGACATATTGCGTCCAGCAATACGCCTACAGCGCATTACTGCGCGGATTGTCATGCTAACAGGGAAAATGGGCAGTTATTGTCAATCTTGCTTAAAAAAAAAATAGAAAAATTAAGAAATAAATAAAAAATAGATAGGCCAAAATAACTTTCTTCGCAGATTCATTTTCACATGTTCTCATGAGACAACGCGCGTTAGTTCAGTGTACCTAACTACCCCAGTTATAATAGAACATTAACTGCCTTCATAATGAATCAAGAAGTATGCGCTTGGGTGGAAAAAGCACTGGTAATCAAAAAAACTAGCGGCTCAAGTTCTTTAATGATGATTTTACTGACTGAATTCCAGCCGGTGAAGGCATTGAAAATGCCATAACCATGGAACTAACCGACGTGCAAGCCAACACACACAAGGCCCTTACTGATTCCAGCGCAGTAGCCTACATCCGTAATGTGTTCAATTGAACAAACTCGAGTGGACATGTGATAGCGAAGTCACATAGAAAACTTTCAGCTGGTTTTATGTTCAATTTTCTGTCTGATAAATCATTTGGCCACGGCTTTATTGGGAGAAATATTATTCTATGGACGAAAGGGATACATTTCCTCCCGAATTGATTGCGTCACATTTATTCAATCAAGTTACGCCTACATGAGGACGCCAGATACTTATAACACTGCGGATTGTCATGTAAAGTGGGAAAATGAGCAATAATGTCTACATCTTCCCAAAAAGAAAATGTTTCCCATGGTACAGCTATGTTTTAAAAAAAATGATAAGCAGAACACATCGACTAAAAGTTAGTGTCTTCGCAGGTTTATTTCCATATTTTGTCACGAGTTCCACCCAATACAGTCAAGACACCTTTAATTCAGCGAGCCTAACTACCGCCTGGTTACAATTTAATATTTGACTGCCCCTATAATAAATCAAGAACTATACGCTTGGGTGGAAGAGCACTGCTGCCTATTTAAGCAACAGGGGGCTCAATCTCCTCAATAATGATCTTGCTTACTGAATTCCAGCCGGTGTAGGCGTTGGAAATACCAAAACCATGGCACTGACCGACGTGCAAGCCAACACGCACGAGGCCTTTGCCGATTCCTGTGCAGTAGCCCTCTACGTTGGCGGGGCGACGGATATTCAGGTCGACATTCTGGTACACAACAGCATCAATAGCAGTGGGAGCCTTCCATTCGATGTCGTTGAAGGTTAAAAACCATCTCATGCAACAGTTTGTGCAACCGGCGATGCGAAGGTTGCCCATGTAAACAACACGGAGGTATGTGTTTGGGGCAGCCTTGGTGAACGGACATTCCTTAAAAGGAAAGGTTCAAAACATTTTATTAGAGGCATTGATGCAGTAAATATCTCTTTTTTCGTCTTCCTGTTCAATCTTGACAATAATGACTGCTATATATTCCCCTCCACCTTTCTCTACTGTAGGAGTGAGCACCAACTATTTGCCTTCTCGGAATACATACCAGAACTTTTCCATTATCAGTCTCAGAATTGATGTGGTTCCAAAAACACTGTTTCCATCTCCTTTGGATCCCAGGCTCTCCTTTGATTCCCGCTCGCCCTGGTGGTCCAGCCTCCCCCTTGGGTCCAGGTGCCCCATCCCATCCCGGCGGTCCATCCCGTCATGGTGCTCCATCTCGTCCCGGTAATCCATCTCGACCTGCTGGGCCTGCTATTACTGGACAGCCTTTTTCCCTTATCTCCTGCAATTGTAAAACATCTAATTGCGACTTTACATGCCACTCTCTGAAGAAACCCAAGAGACACTCCTTGGATGACTTGTGATCGACGATCACTTCTCCAGGAGACGAATAACTTTGTAACCCTGTAACTGCGGTGAATTAAGTCTATATATTTGACCTGTTCATAACACCTGAAAAAATAAGTCCTTACAAGTGAAATCCCGACAATAGTGGAAATTTTCATACAGTTTTGAAAGAATTGCTCGCCACATCCTGATCCGAACAGCCCGTTCTTACCACCACTCGAATGTCGAAGTTAAATTTGTGCCTGAATCAAAAACGTTTCTACAAAAATGAATACTTTACATGGCTTTAAGTAACTTACTCTTTCCTTTAGTTCACCTGTGCCGATCACAAGCTGAAAAAAAAGAAGGTACGACAGCGTAAATGTCTGCAAAAGTTTTTTCCGATCCATCCTTCTTGAGAGAGAGAGTTCAAAATACTTTGCGTCCCAATATCATTTGTTTTAGTATGCTTCTTTTTATTTACAATTAAGTGATATTTTCGAAATAACTTTTTAATTAGTTCAACTTTAGATAAACATACTTGTTTTTTTTTTCGCCGAAAAATGTCCAAATTAGATTGTAGGACAGATCGAGACATTGAATTTGTTCGTATCTCCCCACAAAAAAAAAAGAGCTGTTGGCCGTGTTGTTGACCGTGCAATTAAATATTTGATATTAGTTTAATCGGTTAATTTGCCGCACATCACGTAGTGATTTGAAAAGTCTAATTTAATGTTTTAGGTGGATAAAATATATCCACGAAGCGTGATTCAGTATAGATCAATAGTCTTCTTCACACATGCGCATCACCATGCAATAAATATTTGTCGCTAGATTAATTGATTATTACTATTATTATTATTAATATTATGGTCATCTGCTAATTAATTTTAAACGATTCAAAAGAGTGGAACGCATTTCTGATACTCAACTCATTTTCCTCTGTAGTACGTTTTGTAATAAACACTCTCTACACATGTACGCACTGATCCTTCTAATTTAATAAGTAGACAGACAATTGTAATAACTTAATAACTGAGTGGAAGGCCTCCTAGAGGGATTGTTCAACAATATCTTTTCGATGAAATAATTCTTGAGGCAGTACGCCCCAAAAGAATTTGTTTGTTAAAACCACACAGGCATGGTGCTTTTCGCGAGTGCAAATTGGCTGTCTCGGAGATGTTCGCGAGTACCATTTATCTCCAAGCAGCCGATGAGAGTAAATCTCCTTTATAATCGTTCTTCTCAGCACTGACTACATAAAATTTCTATTATTCACCCTTATGTCGGTAAAAGTGGTGAATACTTACCGAGCCGTAGGTAAATATTTACTACATCTAATATCTACTTAATTGAATAATTTTCAATTCCTTGACAAATCTGTCAAATCAGTCGAATCTAGCTAAGGTTATGAAAATTATGCACACGACGTACTCTGAAGATATGATATTCTAAACGGAAGTGGACCTTGAGCTACGATCGAAAGTTTTTTACGAGTATTGGGGAGATCCCCAATGCGCTTAATGCTAAGGGGGTTTATTCACGAGCTATGCGTTTGAAAGCGACAAACTCTGACTCTCCCACGATGATTTCCCCTAAGTCAGCTTTGTTAAATAACAGCCTATCATTTGCAATGCTTTTATCTGCCGCATTTATTTTGCCAAGTTTATGAACAGTTTAAATATTATGTACTCAAAAGATGAGAGTGCAAATAGAAGAGAGCACCTCGAGGAAAGAAATATAAAGTCTAGAGTGATAATCGCGGATCAAAGTACTCTCTGCCTTTTGCTAAAAAATAAAAACAATTCTGGCCGAGATCAATTCAGGAGTGTTTGTGAAATAGTCGCAACGGCTAATAACAATGGTTGAAAGAATAATTATAGTTTCATGAGCTTGTGGCACCGAACATTTCGGGGACTGTCAAGAGCAAATCCCCCCTCGAAGATTTTAGTCTTTATGTTTTTGGTCTCGCGTTCGGATGCTTTGTCAATGAGCCACAAAGAAATCGATCGTCAATTAGGTCATACATTAGTTAGGTCCTGCATACCATAACTATCAGCATTGACTAAAGAGTGGTGACAGAGGAACACAAAAAGCCCATGAGATCTGAAACGAACTATACTTAGACCGCCTCAAGCGAATGTCCATCTCGGAATTTTTCTCACTTTTCCATTTGATTCGATGAGAAGGTGGCGAGATGTTTCTAAGCCAATGACAAGGAATAGAAGCAAAGCCACGAGCGCAATGGAATTTGCAGCAAGAGATTATTTTCTTGCTTTGCAGTTCTTCCAGAAAGAAGAACAGGACTTAATATGGGGTAATTCCTTGTCTCTGACTCAACTTCTCTAAGCAGCCGAGACAAAATGAAACGTTGAGAAAAAAGAGAGCGAACTATTTGCCGATAGAGCACGCAGTTTCATCATAAATGTATGTAAAAGGCTTTCTGCAAGCGGACATCCCCTACAGCCCCCACATGAACAAAAATTGTGGTAGCTTGCTTTAGTCTGAAGTCAGTTTCCGACTTTTTGTTGACGAGTTATCAGTTGTCGTCAAAAATGTGTCTGGCTCAGTTTCATAACGCTCTGAGGTGGCTTGGTGTCTGGTTTCGCCTCGTTAAAAGATGCTAATCGTTAGTATAACATTTCTTTTGTAATTGTGCATCGATCATTTCTGGTTTAATTAGTAGACAAACAACTGTAAACACTTATTTACGGAGTGGAAGGCCTCATAGAGGGATTTTTAATAATGTTTTTCAGTGGATAAAACAACGCGTGGGGCGGCTCGACCTGTTAGACAAAATTTGCTTGTGTATACCACGCAGGTATGGTGTTTTTAGCGCGCGCTGATTGGCTATCTCAGAGATGCCTAATCACGAGTTCGTGTTCCGATAATTTTTCTTTACACTTTTCTTGTGAGGTATATTCGAAAATAATAACTCACTCTAGTGTCTGTGAAAGTGGTTGATATTTACCAAGCCGTAAATTAGATTGTAGGACAGATCGAGCCATTGAATTTGTTCGTATCTCCCCACAAAAAAAGGGAGCTGTTGGACGTGTTGTTGACCGTGCAATTAAATATTTGCTATTAGTTTAATCGATTAATTTGCCGCACATCACGTAGTGATTTGAAAAGTCTAATTTAATGTTTTAGGTGGATAAAATATATCCACGAAGTGTGATTCAGTATAGATCAATAGTCTTCTTCACACATGCGCATCACCATGCAATAAATATTTGTCGCTAGATTAATTTATTATTACTATTATTATTATTATTATTATTGTTATTATGGTCATATGCTAATTAATTTTAAACGATTCAAAAGAGTGGAACGCATTTCTGATACTCAACTCATTTTCCTCTGTAGTACGTTTTGTAATAAACAGCCTCTACACATGTACGCACTGATCCTTCTAATTTATACCACGCAGGTATGGTGCTTTTAGCGCGCGCTGATTGGCTATTTCAGAGATGCCTAATCAAGAGTTCGTGTTCCGATAATTTTTCTTTACACTTTTCTTGTGAGGTATATTCGAAAATAATAACTCACTCTAGTGTCTGTGAAAGTGGTTGATATTTACCAAGCCGTAAGGTAAATATCCACCTCTACCCACTTCTACTTCGGTGGGTAATATTTGACTATACGCTTTTATTTGCCGAACCTTTTCAGCCAAGGAATGGAATTTAGCATGCAGTTGTAATTATACACAGTGAGGCAGTCTCTCTCGCTCCATCCAATAATGTATTTTATACTGAAAACCAAGAAATTATTCAGAGGACTTTCACTGAGAATGCTTTACTTTCAAACATCTGCAATTTGCTTAATTGAGTAAACTTGGGTGGATATGTGATAGCAAAGTCACATAGAATACTTTCAGCTCGTTTAATATTCAATATTCTGTCTGATAAATCATTTAGCCACGGCTTTTTTGGGAGAAATGTTATTCTATGAATGAAAGGGACCCATTTCCTCCCGAATCGATTATGTCACATTTATTCAATCAAGTTACGCCTACATGAGGACGCCACATACTTATAACACCGCGGATTGTCATACAAAGTGGGAAAATGAGCAATAATGTCTGTCTTCCCAAAGTGGAAATGTTTCCCAATGTACAGCTATGTTTCATCAAAATGATAAAAAGAACACATGAACCAAAAGTAAGTTTCTTCGCGGGTTTATTTCCATGTTTTGTGATGAGTTCCACCCAATACAGTTAAGACACCCTTAACACAGTGAGCCTAACTACCCGGCAGTTACAATTCAACATTCGACTGCCCCTATGATAAATCAAGAACTAGCGGGTGGAAAGGGCACTGCTGCCTATTTAAGCAACAGGAGGCTCAACCTCTTCAATAATGATCCTGCTCACTGAATTATAGCCGGTGTAAGCGTTGACAATACCAAAACCATGGCACTGACCGACGTGCAGGCCAACACGCACGAGGCCTTTGCCGATTCCTGTGCAGTAGCCCTCTACGTTGGCGGGGCGATGGATATTCAGGTCGACATTCTGGTACACAACAGCATCAATAGCAGCGGGAGCCTTGCATTCGATGTCGTTGAAGGTTAAAAACCATCTCATGCAACATTTTGTGCAACCGGCGATGCGAAGGCTGCCCATGTAAACAACACGGAGGTATGTGTTTGGGGCAGCCTTGGTGAACGGACATTCCTTAAAAGGAAAGGTTCAAAACAATTTATTAGAGGCATTGATGCAGTAAATATCTCTTTTTTCGTCTTCCTGTTCAATCTTGACAATGATGACTGCTATATATCCCCCTCCACCTTTCTCTACTGTAAGAGTGAGCACCAAGTATTTGCCTTCTCGGCATACATACCAGAACTTTTCCATTATCAGTGTCAGAATTGATGTGGTTCCAAGAACACTGTTTCCATCTCCTTTGGGTCCCAGGCTCTCCTTGGATTCCCGCTGGCCCTGGTGGTCCCACGTCCCCCTTGGGTCCAGGTGCACCATCCCGTCCCGGTAGTCCATCCCGTCCTGGCGCTCCATCTCGTCCCGGTAATCCATCTCGACCTGCTGGGCCTGCTACTGGACAGCACTTCTTCCTCATCTCCTGCAATTGTAAAACATCTAATTACGACTTTACATGTCACACTCTGAAGGAACCTAACAGACACTCCTTGGATGACTTGTGATCGACGAATCACTTCTCCAGGAGACGAATAACTTTGTAACTGCGATGTATGAACTTTGTACATTTGACTTGTTAATAATAACTTTTAAAAAAAATCCTCGCGGGTGAACTCCCTAAAATCAGCAAACTTTCATACAGTTTTGAAATAATTGCTAGCCACATGTTGATCCGAACAGCCCGTTCTTATCACGACTCGATTTACGAAGTTACATTTGTGCCTGACTCAAAAATGTTTCTACAAAAGTCAATAATTTTTAAATGGCTTTAAGTAACTTACTTTTTCGTTTAGTTCATCTGTGCCGATCACAACCTGAAAGAACAGGAGGTACGACAGCGCAAATGTCTGCAGAAGACTTTTTCGATCCATCTTTCTCGAAAGAGAGAGTTCAAAATGCCGTGCGTCCCAGTATCATTTGCTTTAGTATCCTTTTTTTCATTTACAATTCAATGATATTTTCGAAATAACTTTTTAATTAGTTTAACTTTAGATAAACATACCTGCTTTTATTTTATTTTTCCCTGAAAAATGTCCAAATTGGATTGTTTCCCGCCCCCCAAAAAGAAGAGCCGTTGGCTGTGTTGTTAACCATGCAATTAAATATTTTAATCGTTAGTTTAAACAGTTTATTTGCTGCATATCACGTACTAAATTCCTAAATTTAACTTCATGTTTTAAGTGGATGGAATAATTCTACGAGGTGTCCTGTAGTGGAAATAGATCGCATGTGATCAACAGTCTCTGTACTTGTACGCACCGATCAAGAGTCTCGGAGATGATCGCGAGTACTATTTATCTCCAACCAACCGATGAGAGTAAATCGCTTTTCCGATCATTTTTCTCAGCACTGACTTAAGTAGATTTCTAGTTCTCGGTTGGTATATTCGAAGAGCATAATTCACCCTAATGAAGGTGAAAGTGGTGAATACTTACCAATCCGTGAGGCAGTATGGTAAATATTTACCACAACTCACATATACTTTATTGAATAGTTTTTAATTGCATGACGAGTCTGTCAAATCTCTTGATTCTAGCCAAGGTTATGAAAGTGATGCATACGATGTACTCTGATGATGAGACATACGATAGGAGTTGTACCTAAAGCTTTTTCGAGTATCGGGAAGATCCCCAGTGCGCTTAATCCGAAACAAGGTCAGATTAGCCAAGGGGGGGTTTATGAGATAATCTCAACGATCAATCGTATCGTTTGTAAATATATAAAAAAATTTAAAAAAAAAAGAAAGATAAATGAACATTCAATCGCTTGTCTTAGGATTTAAGAGTCAGATTAATCAATCGTGTATTGATCGCGATGTTTCAACTCCTATACTGCCGAACAGACGATTTACGTGCTATGCGTTTGACTGCAACCAACTCTGACTCTCCCACGATGATATCCTTTAAGTCAGCTTTGTCAAATAATAGGCGATCATTTGCATTGCTTTTATCTGCAGAATTTATTTTGCCAAGTTTATGAACAGTTTAAATATTATGTACTCAAAAGATGAGAGAGCGAATAGAAGAGGGCACCTCGAGGAAAGAAATATACAATCTAGAGTGTTAATCGCGGATCAAAGTACTCTCTGCCTATTTTTAAATAATGTTTGTGAAATAGCCGCAACGGCTAATAACAAACAATGGTTGAAAGATTAATTAAAGTTTCATAAGCTTGTGGCACCGAACAATTCGGAGGCTGTCGAGAGAAATTCCCCCTCAAAGATTTGAGTCTTAGTGCTTCTGGTCTCGCGTTCGAATGCTTTGCCAATGAGCCAGAAAGAACTCGATCACCAATTAGATCACACACTATTTAGGTCCTGCATACCATAACTGTGAGTATTGACCAAAGAGTGGTGACTAAGGAACACAAAAAGCCCATGAGATCTGAAACAAACTCAAGCGAGTGTCCATCTCAGAACTTTTCTCACTTTTCCATTTGATTGGCTGAGAAGGTGGCCAGATGTTTCTAAGCCAATGACAAGGAATAGAAGCAAAGCCACAAGCGCAATGAACTTTGCAGCAAGAGATTATTTTCTTGCTTTGCAGTACTTCTAGCAAGAGGAACAGGGCTTAAAATTAATATGGGGTAAATCCTCATCTCTGACTCAAATTTCCTACGCCGAGACAACTAAATAAAACGTTGAGAAAAAAGAAAGCGAACTACTTGCATGCAGTTTCATTATAAATGTATGTAAAAGGCATTCTGCAAGCGGACATCCCTTACAACCCCTACTTTAACAAAAATTGTGGTAGCTTGCTTTAGTTTGAAGTCAGTTTCCGACTTTTTGTTGACGAGTTATCAGTTGTCGTCAAAAATTTGTCTGGCTCAGTTTCATGACGCTCTGAAATGACTTGGTGTCTGGTTTCGCCTCCGGAAAAGATGCTGATCGTTAGTGTAACATTTCTTTTGTAATTGTGAGAGGTAACTGGTACATTTTGTGTGCTTTGAGGTTTTAAAAATTGTGTCCTAACATCGTACTCTCTGCTGATGGCGGCTCATTCATATCTTTTCAGAATGCAGAATGAATATGTTTCATAGACAAGCTTTTCTTATGTGTGGTATTTTGAATATCAATCTGACCATTCGCGTGGGCTGGCGTTGACGATTCATGTAAGATGAAAAGAGCACAGGGAACAAGAGATAGGAACTACAGAAGATTTAATCGATTCATCCTTCCAAAGAGAGCCTTAAAATTTACCAATTTCTTTTGAATAAGTCAACTTTATTTCATCTATCATGCTATTATGTTCACAAACATATTTTTATTAGCAATTTCACTTATGACAAGCATATCCGCTTAAAAATATTTTCTTCTGCTGGCAACAGCTCAGTGTTTTTTTCGAATAGCTCAAGATATATAACTTTTCGGTAATTTAAAACCAATTCTGAGTGTTTCGATTGTTCCCTAATCATTAAATCGGATGTTGCGTACTACATTTTGAAATAGAGAAATGTTTTTGGTCTTGTTGCGAGCTCGGGGCATACTGTGAGGAAGGCTGTTCGAGTTGTGATATATCATGTAAGGGACATATTGCGTCCAGCAGTACGCTTACAGCGTATTATTGCACGGATTCTCATGCAGAGAGGGAGAATGGGCTGTTATTGTCAATCTGGCTTAAAAAGAAAAATTTTCACAAGATAATAATAATAATAAAAAAAAAAGACAAATAGACCAAAATAAGTTTCTTTGCAGATTTATTTTCACAAAGAGTTATGAACACCACTGAACTAGTGGTTGAAATAAGACCTGGAAAAAATTCAAGCCCGTACGGGATTTGAACCCATGACCTCTGCGATTGTTATGTTGGATCCAAAATAAACCTTCCAAGGGGTGAATAATGACTGTAAATATACGAAAATCATATATGTGCACGGATAGAAGTGGTTGTTTCTTCAAACGCAGTGCACATATATGATTTTCATATATTTAGGCGTTTCGCGGGAAGATTGAGCACTTTCTTTATTGAGTCCTCTGTATTTACTCGATAACAGTTTGCCATTTCCCAAAAGAAGTACAAGATTTTATCGACAATTCTTTAGCCGAGAACAATAGAGTATTGCTGACTCAAATTTCTTAACTAGAAACCGATTCTGCCGAAAATTTAAATAGAGGTAACGCCGAAGCTGCTGACGAACAACTTAGACAAATCAAGAAGTGAAGAAGAGAAGAACTGCAGTCCTTTAAGCGCAAAAGAAACGAAATTCAATACATGTTTTACTTAAAACCGCAGGATTCCTTAGACGAAGCGAAGGCATACCTCGAAACGAATGCAGTGAAGAAAGCTAAGGAGTCGTTATTAGAGGGTACGTTACTCCTTGCAAATAGACAGAAGTTAATTTTATTAGCAGATGAATCTCAATTTGGCTGGGAAATGTTCGAAGAAAATTCTTAGCACGAGCTGGCAGAAGATGAAGATGACGGAAAGAAGATACGTCGCGCCGAAGAGAGAGCTGAGAAAGCTTTGAAGTCTGCTACCACTAGAAAAACGACTAAGCAAGTTTCCTCATTTTTCCGCCCTTCAAGTTCACGTTTCACTCCACCGAGCCATAGAGCTTCATCTGGGTTCCTGGCGTGCCCAATTGTTTCGCTTGTGGTAAATTTGGTCATTGGAGGTCCGAATGTAACCAGACTGCTTGTTCAGGTTCCGCTAAAGGTAATCTTGATAGTAGATGACTAAAAAATTCATTCGTCGACGAACAAAGTAAGTGTGACGTATCTGTTATAAACCCTTTGTTTGATTCGGAATATCTTTCATGTCAAGGTCTTGTCCAAGATTCTGAGAAATGCGAGCTTGAATCACCAGGTGTTAGTGGCAGCTATGACTCCGATGTCCCACAGATTTCTGTTAAAGGGAAGTTGATCAAATCCATTGCGTTTTGCCATTCCATCGGAGCACCAGATTTTATCTTGAGCGTTACTAGTTGCTCTAGGCGCTTAACAATATCACAAAATGTATTAAAAAACACTAAAAAATCTAACAACTACATACATAATCATGGGAATTATATAGAAATATATTTACAAATCAAAAAAGGCTTGGCGAATTAAATATGTCTTTAAGTGTTCTTTTGAAAGAATTCAAGGAATCGGCAGATCCGGGTTTTGTTACTGAGGCTGTTCCGGAGCTCTTATGTGACAATCGCTTCGAGGAAATATTCTCTCCTCGGGATATTATCAATCCGTTGAGTGTTTCCGTTCAAGCTAGTGGTAAAAAGAGACTGATCTTGGATTTAAGGTATATTAATGTGCATATATTCAATTATAATAAAGTTCGGATATAACGCGCGCTGTCATTGGTTGAAAGAGCGTGCTCTATAAGAGTATAGAGCGAAGAGCTGAGCTAAAGCTGTCACACCATCTGCCAATTGTACTATGTTCGACCTCTTCTGGGACTTCTTTTTAGCTTTTTTCTTATAATTGAAAGTGAAATTTCGGAACTGAAGCGAGCCGGCAAGTAGCAACAGAAGAATCAAATGAATCAAATCGCATTGGGGCGGGTTCCCGTTGAATTCTGCTAATGTTTGCTTTACCATTCGATCCTTACCTTAGTATTTTCATTTATAGTCATACAGATGTATGATTCAACCAGAAATTGTGCGTAACTGTAGTTTTGGCTGGCTTAACATCTGCTATTGTGTTCTTTTAATTTCTCGCAAAGTCCGCAAACGTCATGTAAAACAAAGTCATCTACTAAATTCTCCACCGATTCACATAGGTGATTAAGCTAACTGAATTAAGCTAGATGCAAGCCTGTGTCATTTAGAAAAATATCAAGGTTAGAAATCAATTTTTCGGTAGCGAGATCGATCCAGTCCTCTTTCCCGTACCTTTAGTTATGAATTCTCAAGCGTCGGAAATCACTCTATTGCC